GTTTGTATATCACGAAAACAACTTTGAATATACGTGCATTCTGGTTGTCTGGGATGTTGGTATCACCTCGGGCATCACTGCTCTGTACATCATAAAACACGTTAAATAGATAATCGTGATAAACAATTATTTTGAATTTTTTGTGATAGCACATCAGTCCCTTCGCAATTTTTGTGACATCATTTAATGTTTCAGCGATTTTTACGACTGAAAGTTCAAATCCGCTACAAATCAGCCCTGTATTTCTAATTGCTGCATTATTCAAACGAAGTTGCATCCTCAGAACGTTCTGTCTTGAATGCTTTTATCACAAACCCCAAAAACTACAAGGGACAGCCCAATGGGGTTATACGCAATGATGACGTAGGACTACGTGGTATGATATAATAAATATTTGTGTTAACTGCAGCAGGAGCTTGTGTTTTGTGTAGGAATAGGAATTTTAGCGGGGTTCTCTCTGTTTATACTCCAGGACTATGCTATGGATATGGACGGGATATGACTATGATTGCCCTGAAAAGAACCTTTTGATATGAATTTTAGTTGGGACATGTTCAGAAAATTAACTCTTTTGGAAAATGTTGGTGGCCCTGAAAAGGGCCGATGGTAGTACAGGCTTAAAGCCTTTGGAAGATGACGTGTAGGCAGCTGCGTGTTCAGTGACGATATCACGGATCACATTTTCTCGGCACACCTTCAGCACACCTCGGGTTTCCGCGTACATCAGACCGGAGATGAGCTTGACACCACCACGTCGAGCCAGACAACGAATGGCAGGCCCTGGATGTTATCACGCATAATCTTTCGATGACACTTGGCGACTCCTTTACCAAATCCTTGCCACCCTTGCCACGACCAGTCATGCCTCCTGGTTGTTTGCCGTTGAACGGGTGAATCGCAACTAATGCGAAGGCGCAGTTAGCTACCTGTTATATAGACAACCATCAAGCTCATCTCCGGTCTGATGTACGAGGAAACCCGAGGTGTGCTGAAGGTGTGCTGAAGGTGTGCCGAGAAAATGTGATCCGTGATGCCGTCACTGAACACGCCAAGCGCAGACAGTCTCGGCCATGGATGTCGTCTACGCATCATTATCACCAACAACCAAGTAACAAAACGGCTTTTTTCAGGGCCACCAAGTTCATTTAAGAAAAGAGTTAGAGTAGAATTTTTAAAGAACTACAAAAATATTTTTCACCATTATCAAGGCTATTTTTTCTCATTGATGGCGCTGTTCCATTGATAGCAAGTTAGAAATTTGAAAAAGTGAATGGAACGATTGGATGCATATTATGGTCAAAATAAGTTAAAAGAAATCATTCATTATCGTTCAGCTTTTTCCTAGAATTTTTTGTTAAATCGTACTTTCTTGCAGAATATGTTAAAAGGGAGGGAATTTTTATGTATTTTTTATGCAGAATATGCTAAATGGGAGGGACTTCAAATGTTAATCCTCCCTCCCCCACCAAATGTTACAGAGTGTCATTAAAATACATGGAATGTTGAGATCGTGAGAATGGATTTTCTATTTTAAATTTGAATGTTTTGGCTCTCTGGGGATTGGTAGTAAAGCGGTTAAAAAATGTATGGGAAAAAAACCCCTTTTTATTTAATTCTAGCTTATTTAACAAAAATTTCCAGGAAAAAACTGAACGCCAAAGTCCATAAACGATTTCTTTAGGTTGTCGTCAACTATTTTTGGAAAGCTATGTGAAATTCACATGGATTTCATGCATAACATATGTGATATATTTTTTGAGTGTATCCCCTGTTTCCAAGTTTGATTACAAGATTACAACTCTGGAGAGCATTTTGTGTGGTCGTTGGGAGCGTGTGGTTCTGAATATGGCGATAAGTGTGCAAAATATTACGCAATTCCATCCTCGCTATTCGCACGCGCCCGAGGATCGGAGGCGGTGTATAATGAGTCACGCCAAGAGAAAAACAGTTGAACTCGCATCACGGTCTTCGAAAGATTCCCTTTCTTCTCACTTGGCAACAGAGGACTTCTACATCAACTTCAAATGACTTCTAGCGGGGAAAAAAATAGCGGCTGTAGCTAGGGGAGTCTCACTTTTAGAATGACCATTGAATAAGCATTTAATTTAAATCAATTGCATTTAATTTCCATCTTTTGCATCAACCATTCAGTGGGATGTGCGCTTTTTCGGTGACACTTATAAATAGGTACACACATACATCGAGGCGAAGATAAACAAACACAACATAAAAGGAAAAGAAAACTCGGAGTAGAGAACTCACGAAAATCTCCCTGCAGTCTTCTCTGGCAGCAAAGAAACTCTCCAACGGAATCGTGCAAAAGCTCCCTCCGGAATTTCCCCTGCCAACATCAAAATCACGCAAAACCTGCTCCGCCGAGAATGCGAGACAACTCCATCGAAATTGCGTAGAACCTCCATTGGCAGCATCGGAAATCTCCACCGGAATCATGCGGAAGCTCCTTCACCTGAAACACGAGAAAATACCGTACAGATTTCCTGAAACTTCCGTTGGCAGCACCGAAAATCACCACCGTGAATGCGAGAAAAATCCGTCGAAACTGGAATCTCCGCTGGCAGAATCAAAAACCTCTACCATGTGCAGAACCTCTTTCGTTGAGAACGTGAGAAAACTCCGTTAAAATTCCCTGGAACCTCCGCTGGCAGCATCATAAATCGCCACCGAAACCGTATGGAACCTCGTCCGCCTTGATCGCAAGAAAACCCCATCGAAATTTCGCATTTTTTATGCAGTTGTAATATATTTATTTGTCAACATCAACAGACTCAATGTAGCCCCAATGTATTTTATTTAGTCAAACCAAGTCAAACATAATCCTGGTGGATGAACCCATTATCAGAACAAGACAAAGTTCCTAGAACCTTCGTTGGCAGCTGCTAGAATCGTCTTCGAAATCATGCAGAATTTAATTCGCCAAAGCAAAAAAAATCCGTTGTAACTTCTAGGAACTCCCGCTGGTAGCATCCAAAATCACCGAAATCACGCGGAACTTCGTCCACCGATAAAGGGGGGAAAATGCCTCGAGCTTCCGTCTGCAGCATCCAATCTCTTTACTGGTATCGTGCAGAACCTCTTTCGCCGACAATGCGTGGAAACTTCGTCGAAAGTCTGTGGGAACCTCCGTTGGCAGCATCTGAATTTTTCAGGGGAGTTTCGATGGAGTTTTCAGATATTCAAGGCGAAGAGGGTTCCGAGAGATTTCGGTGAAGATTTTCGGTGCTACCAAAGGAGGTTCCAGTGAGCTTCGACGGAGTTTTCTGTGGAGGCGGGTCTGCACGATTCCGGTGGAGATTTTTAATGCTGCCACCGGAAATTTCAACGGATTTTTTCTGCGGAATAGTTTTCTCAAGTCAAGAGTGTGGATTTGAGCGAACCGAAGCGAACAACAAAACAGGACAAAACTTTTCATAAATACATGCATGTATTAGTGGGAGGTGTCACTTACAACTACACTCAGCCAAAAATGCTCTGAGAAAATGCATTTAATTTTGTTGTTATAATAAATGCAACTCAAGTGATCTGCCCCTAGGGCTGTAGTGAATCATTAGATCAGTGATTTTGTCGAATTATATAATCAAAAAATAGTAGAAATTCTCATTACTGATCATTATCAAACGTATCCCGTTTATGATTATTTCTTCAATTATATTTTATATTTTATTGCAATACCTTTCGTGGACCTTTCATAGCATCAAAATGTTTGTTTACTTTGCACGATAGGTAGCCGGTTTGACAGTTCAATAGGTAGACTTGGCTTCACTCTTGGCGTGACTCATTACACACCGACTCTAGTTTCGTCTACTTACTACTCTCTGACGACTGTGCTGGGGAAGCAGCATATGCATGTAGGTAATTGGTGGATTTGTTAGTTAATTCGACGCTTTTGGACAATGCTGGACATTTTCCAGTTTTTCAATAGTTTCTTGTTGCAAATCAACATTCTAAAGCATTGTTATCGATGCGTAGCTATATTTCTGATCGATTGGTGATAAAATTATTGAAATTGGACTAGGGGCAGCTGAGTTATTAACGTTCAAAATCTTTCACAATTTTGTTTCATGTTCCATTTTCGGTTTTCACAAAGTGTACCCCCATATAGAAATCGCAGACGTAGTCCTACGTCAAAAAATAGACGCTAACATAACAATAAAACCAGCCATATATCAAGCATTCCTCGCATGGCAAACTGTTTTCTCATGTTAAGTCGTTTCATTCATTATCTGTCCAAACGAATGATATTCAATATGTCACCCAAAGGAGAATGCATAAATTAAAAATTAATCAAATGGCCTATCAATTCCCAAGTCAACACGCGCCTCTTGGCCACTGCTAACCACTGGCGCCACCTAATAAACAAGCTGATTAGGTTCTCTTAAGTGAGTCACGGCAGTGGACGAAGGATCTCCCATCGTTTCTTCTCCTCTTTCTGGAAAAGGCCACACTTTTTTTTCTTCATGCGACGTGTTCCATCAAGCGATCAAATGTCCTTTTGAACATTAACATCGATTTTTATCGCCGCAATAATCGTCTGTTGCGTTTCGTTGCCCATGCTTCCTCGTTACGCCCCGGAGATCTCGCACCTTGCGATATGCTAATCCACGCAATCTGTCAGCCACTACGAGCACTACCGGATTCAAATATTCGTCGCCGTCGTCATTACTAATGGAGAAGATGTCAGCCAATTGATCCGCGATCGACGATTTGATGAAATATTACTTATGGCTTTTAATGTCGCCGTTATGAACGCCTTCCTTTCTTCCAATCTACATGTCAGCGAATCTTCATGCTCTTCTGATAACGCCCCTTCTCTCTCACACTCTTTAACTCTCTGGCGGTAAACGAAAACGATCGACTCACAGCAGGATCTGAAGCCTTTTCTTGTGAGCACAGGGCACCATCTATTCTCAGTTGCAATCGAACAGCCAATCAAGCAAGACGTGGTTTACTAGTCTAAACAGAAGCGAGAACAAATTCCCGAAACCCACGCGATTCACCATTTCTAGAGAAAGAATGTCGCGAGTGATGTATTCTAATTGCTACCTTTGGCTTCCTGTAATCGTTCTATTGTGGGATTTCACTAACTCCGTACCGGCAAATAACCCAGCACCGCCAGCTTCACCCTGTCCCGGACTATTCACATATCAGTACGATACCAATCGATCGGAGTACTACGGACAGGCGGACTTGCAGACGCAAACAGTCAAGAATTCAGCGGAAGTGGAGATGTCTTTCACAATAACCGCCCAGCTGCCATCGGTACGTACCCATAGCTAACTAATGATTTTATTCCATTAGAAACGACAAGAAAGGAAACAACCACAGCAATGATATCCTAATTAAGAACCCTGCCTTTGTAAACTGGAGAGTAATGAAATCATCGCACCAGTAGATATAGAACTGGTTCTCTAGCAATCACCGTCTATAATCTCATGAATTTCAACAACCCGGTTTTTTGCAAATTATATGCAAACACCATTTATATTGCTTGATTCAAGCAAATGCGTTGCTGAATAGGGCAATAAGGATTACCCAATGATGATAACGGAGCACATCTGGGATTTCCATTTTAATTTTGTTGGCTGCATCTAAAACTGGAATGCTCCAAAAAGCTGAACTGCTGATAAAAGTGCCCGATTACGTCAAATCGTTTTGTTGTCTTCGAAGCACAGATTTCTTGTTTCATAAGGAATAAGTCTAGCGGCGCCGGTGGTGTAGTGGTAAGCGTGATTACCTCTCACCCCAGCAGGCCTGGGTTCAATCCCAGTCGGCGCCGCCGGGATGTTCTGAGGCATAACATCTCTAATCACGAAGGGAAGTAAAGCCGCTGGTCCCCGGTTCATGAGTTGATGAATCGATAGGTAGGCTCCAGGTGTTGGAAGCTGCCTCCCTGGCGTCGGTAGCATTGGTGCTCAGAACGGAAAACAAATCAAGGAAAAAAAGTTTGAGGTTGTTTCCAAGACACAACCGTAGATTTAGCGTAGAATTACGTGCTCGGTATCAATATTCGGCGACTGTGTTAGGGAAAACACTTTTTCCCATCATGGCAACGCTCCTTTTTTGATTAAAAAATTACACATTTTCGTGTACAAAACGCAAGGAATTTTTGGTTTATTCAATAGATAATAAAAAAAAGCGAAAATTGATTGGAGGAATTTCTTGCTAATATTTTCCAAATTATCAAAGACCTTTGGCTGGCGAACGGTTCAATGAAAATTAACTCTTGAACAACGATAATTTATGGTGGTCCTGAAAAGAACCGTTTTGTCGTGATGGTTGAGTAATACTGAGCTATTAGGGTATTCAACACGGATAAGGCTGGCGAGCTGTATGTTGTTTGGAACGAGGGTGACGCGAGTTAAATTTTTACGAGCGGGAGGTTCTTTAAAAAAAAAAGCTATCACTAGTTTTAGTCATCAAACTAAGACTAATTTATTCATAATATATTTGTACCCTACTTCTAACCGATACACCGATCGGTGCTGTCATGTCAGCACCTGGTTTCCGTCGTTGCTATCCGCATCCATATCACTGAGCTAGCTGTTGCCGGGCCCGCCGAGTTCCACTGATGTAAGCTTTCCATACGTCGTGGACTAGGTCATTTCGTCAAAAGATCCAGGTGGCTACGTCGCTAAGTCGCGCTTGGCATAGATGGCCCACAGCGGCTTCCTCCTTATTCGGTGAATGGACACTCATGTGGGCAGCCTTTCGTTGTGTACTGGAGAACAATGTTCAACGCTACGCGCCGAAAGCACTGATGCTGCTGCTATTGATGACGACCGACCGAACACGATTAAAACCGGTGATTGAATAAGTGCCGTTCGACGAGATAGGATGGAATCCTATTTTGAAATATGTGCTAGGGAAAGCGCTTTTTGCTGGCAATCGGTGATAATTTTGATCACCATTGCAACAGCTGAACATTTGTACAATTTTCAATAGTGACCTATTGAAAATTAATAAAGTGCTCATTTTAGTAGATTCGTAGAAAAATTTCGAATCGATTGGCTTTTTAGTATTAAAATCCATCCATGCATCCACACAGAGTTATAAGTGGTCAAAACCTAAACGCTTTTTGTAACGCAGTCGATTTTGGTTTTTTTATAAATTGCACATTTGTATATGGACTGTTTCAATTGACCACTTTGTCAAGCAGTTTTGGCGTAACTTTCTACCAGCGATTCCACAAAACTGGACCAACTAACTTCTATTTTTTTATGAAACGCCAAATGATGGCTACTTTTCTCGTGTTTCTAGAAGAAAAAAATCAAAATAATGTTTTATATCAAAGTTCGAGTGGTAGTAAACGTCATTTTAACTGTTTGAATGAAGTGGTTAATTTGAAACCAGAACAGAAACGCACCCCTCGCAATGCCGAGTTGCAGTTGCATTATTCGAGCACTAGTTTGCACCATATTTGCAACTGCTCGACTGTTCTGTTTTATTTATGAGCGCGTTTGAAACACGACTGGAGCTCTGTTCCAAATTTCTATGGATGTATTTTTAGAGCTTCTAATCTGACAGATGGCAGACGGTCAGGGGAAAACGAGGTGAGGTTGCGTCTCTCAGATATTCTCTTATGATACCACGTGACTTAGATCAGCTCTCCAAAAAAATCTTTTGATATTTTTTTCAACACTTCTGGATGATCAGCTATTATTTTAAAGATCTTCAACTGTGCAACATTCAAATAACGTCTCTCAGAGATTCTCTCATTGGGGTGTCTCAGAAATTATTCCAAAGGCCTTCAGGTGCTCATAGGTTTTCAAAAACTTCTCAGGATATTTTCTCAATACTTCAGGATGATCTAATATCAGATATTATCTAGATGTCTCAGAAACTATTACAAAACCTTCAGATGCTAATACTTACTTACTTAAGGGTCCTGTACACCACCGGAGGTGCAAAGGGCCAACGTGAAAGACTTCCATCCTGGGCGGCTGCTCGCTTTTGCCTTGTTTCCTTGTTGAGGCTCCGCCGCCATGAACCCCTGGGTCTGTCTCTGCTGGGATGTCCTGCCGGATTCCAATCCAGCGCTTGCTTGCAGACTTCGTTTCTACCCCATCGAAGTGTGTGATCAACCCACCTCCACTTTCGCTCTTGATCTGTTGCGATCGGCTTCTGATGACATCGACGATGGAGCTCAGCATTCGAGATCCAGTTGTGAAGCCACCAGGCACGAATTATATACCGCAGGCATCGGTTGATGAAGACCTCCAGCTTCTGAGTGTTCTCCGCTGATATACACCACATCACGCTGGAGTATAACAACACATATTTCACGTTCGAGTTGAAAATTCAGATTTTGGTGCGTTCACTTATCTGGTTCGATCTCCATACGTTTCGTAAACTCGCAAAGGCAGCCCTAGCCTTCTTGATTCGTGCACCTATGTCGCTCTTAGTCCCGCCGTCCGACGCTATTTGGCTGCCAAGATATTGGAAACTTTCGACCTTCTCCACTGCTTGCCCCGCTACCGTAAAGTTGGAAGGGTTGCCCGTGTTGATATCCAACGATTTGGTTTTGTTGACGTTGATGGTGAGACCCGCCGCAGAGGAGCGTTCGGCTAGGTCATTGAGCTTACTCTGCATATCAGAGTGCCGTTGTGCTAGTAGAGCAACATCATCAGCCAAATCGAAGTCGTTGAGATGCTCCATGGTGATAGGCTGCCAAAGCAGTAGCGGTGATAGTATACATCCTTGCCTCACACCAGTGACTACCCAGATAGGCTCCGTTTTGCAGAACTCTGCACGTGAAAGCCTGATACTGCGCTTTGATGAGGTTGACGATTTTATCCGGGACTCCCTTGCGTCTCAGGGCGCCCCACAGATGCTCGTGATTGAGTCGGTCGAAAGCTTTTTCGTAGTCAATGAATACCAAATAAAGGGACTCTTGGAATTCGTTGACCTGCACCAGGATAATGCGGAGCGTGACAATATGGTCCACACAAGATCTTCCGGCACGGAATCCTGCCTGCTGCTGCCGGAGAGTCGCGTCGATCTTCTCCTGTATCCGATTCAGGATAATTTTGCACGGAACATTGAGAACAATGCACAGAGAACAATCAGGTGCTCGTAGGGCTCCAATAACTTCTCATGATATTTCGTCAATACTTCAGGATAATTAAGTTTTATTCTAAAGATATTGAACTGTACATCAATTCAAATACCGTCTCTCAGAGATTCTCTCGTGATATCAGCTGTCTCAGAAAATATTGCAAAGACCTTCAGATTCCAGGAAACATTCTTGAATCAGAATCACCTTCTCCGTTCGGGCTAAATTTACCGAAGCAAACAAACTTTGCACACGCACACATATGTATGTAGGGATGTATACCAAACACCGTTTAAAACTGTGCGTTGCGCTGATCGGGTTAGTTTCATTTTTGATAGTTTCAAATTTTAGAACTGTCGAGTAGATTGAAACAATTTTGAAACTCAGCATTGCGAACGTCCTTAGACATTCAAAAAATCGATAATAATGCCTTATTATCAATAACAACTAGGTTAAAATCCAAGATTCGAGCTTGAACTTGGATTACCGTACATTTCAGTAGTTCTCCGTGATTGACAAGAACCAGCAAAATTGCACATAGATACAAACGAGGGATGACCTAACCATTCTCTACGTACACGTTTCGAAGGTTCATTATTCTATATACAGGAAGGATACTTTGTTAGTAGGTTGGTGGTCATTGGATCAGGATTCACCTTGATAAGTGATGCGATCGTACTTTTGATATAATGTATTGATTTCTGAAATTGACGCGAATAAGACCGGCGGCATAAAGCTATTCGATTGAAATGATGTCCCGCATCAAGCATAGGGTAAATGTTGGCTTCGGCACCCATTGACTGTTTTCGGCAACCAAAATTTAAACGTTAATTTCACTATGTCACCATCAACGCACTTCCCTGAATGTGTCCAAATGATTGTTTAGCCTTTCAGCTTCAATCTGATTATATTTGAACGATCGAGCAATCCAGTAATGCTGCATTTTTCTTCAAATAAAGCATACGCACTACAAAATGAGGTTGATTTCGAGTTGCCGATAATAGAACAGCTGGTTAACACGCAGTTCTAATGGGAAGGTTGCCGAAGAAAAAGAGACTGCCGACAATAGTCACACTCACCTGTGAAGTTTGGAGCGTTGTAAAAACGCTTTCAAAACGTTTTGAAAAATTCTGTCGATTGGAATGGATAGAGAAGCAAGCAGCAGATGAATGTAAACAAACAGACACATCATATAAGTGCGTGACGCTGAGAAAATGCTACTAGAAGTGCAGACGCTGCTTAGATTGACGAGAATACGTAAATTCCCCTATGTCAAATTTTACCGAGCAAACATTTTTTTCGCCGTTTCAATCGTTCTATCTCTCTAAGGATTGTCTACGTCCCTGCGACGTAGCATGAGCATGAGCATTGACAAACAATCAATTCAGATAACTATTCAAAAATCCACGATTAATAAAAAACATATAATTTTTTTGGATTTGAAAAATTTTGAAAGATTGTTAGACTTTCAAAACAAAATACTGGTTTTAAACGAATTTTCAAGATTACGGACGTGGACATAACATAAGATTTACACTTTGAGAAATTTATGAAATCTCAGTATTGCACAAACTTTTAAGATCATGAGCTTCGAAGACTTTTTAGTTAAGAGAATAAAATGCCTGATTCTTAATTTGAAAATAAAAATCTGGAACATTTTTTGAGAAAACTAAAACTTGTTGAAACAATAATGATATTGTGACAAATAATTTATTGAACTTCTGAGACATGGAAAAAATCTATGATAGATTATAATGCCCGACTTAAAACCCTTGATTCGGAGCTCAGACATTTTTTTTTTCACGATTATGTCGTGTAAAAATGTTTGTATTCTAGAACATTAATAATTTTTCAAAATATCGAACTTATAGAAAATTTTAATTATTCGATTTTGGAAAAATTATCATAAGTCACCCACAAAATTCTCTCTAAACTTTATTCACAAAATAGTCTAATTCCAAAAAATTTCATTTTTGATGATCTTAATCACGACTTCCCTGACCTTACAATTTAATTGGCATTGATATTTGAATCTGTTTAGGTGTAAAATATTTTAATTGAACTTTCCAAATCGGCCTGTATATCGACCATATCCTGGATCTTGAATTTGGTTCTACGGCACGGACGAAGTATTCACAATTTATCTATGGAAATTCACTCAAAACTTAACAGGATTGCATTTGATTGTTCTTAAACATTTCCTTTTGAATCATTTTCTTTCAAACAGTTCTTTTCAGAATTCTTCTAAAATCAATTTGAAATTCATTCTGGGAGTCAGGGAGAAAATTTCAGTAGAACACTCAATCAAATTCTTGAAATTCGTCCATAGATTCTCATCAAATTTTAAACTCTTTCACTGAATTCACTGAAGCTTACATTTTATTTTAATCCATGAAATTTCCCTCAGAATTCTCATCCAGCATTTAAAAAGGGCCTATTAGCTTTTGAAAGAACAAAACTTGAAATCCCCTTTCCCTACTAACACCATCGGTCAGGAGAAATTCTCCCATCGAGAATTGTCTTCAAATGTTGCTCAGAATTAACTTGGAGCTCTCCTCTATATTCTTCTGCAAATTGCTTAGAGCTCTCTTTAAAATTATCTAGAAAATCTTTTAGAAATGCGTATGGAATTATCCACAGAATTTTCTTTGGAATTGTACCCTCAACATTCGATTCCTTTGGTATTTTTTACGAATCCTGCAATCCTCTTCACAATCGTCTTGGAATTTTCCAGAGAGGTGCTTAAATTTTTACTCTGAAAACTCAATTGACTTGGAAGTTCTAGTCGGAACTCTCGTAGAGATTTTGCTAAAACTCCCTAAAATCGTTATGCGAAATACCTTGGTGTTATCTTTAGAATTCATCCTTAAATTTGTTCAAATTTGTTTCAGAGTGACTGTATCCTGAAAATCAAGTACAGTTCAAGGGTCTTAAAATCTATTTTTTTTTTTTTCCAAGAGATGACAAAATATGTTTTTCTTGATTTATCATCGAAATTCACGGAATTCTACCGGTGACTTCAAATTCCCGGCTTCAGTCTGGTTTTCTCGATTTTCCGGATCACTGATTTTTACATATGAAACACTTGTCTTTACTTCCATCGTGCATTTACTCAAAGGCGCTCCAATTGATTTTTGTTGAACACAGCTAGATTGAGCAGACGCACCAATCTACTCAAAGGTTAAACTTTGTCAGACGCAACTAAGTGCAACATCTATTAAGAGACCCACATACTCATTTCGAGATTACATTTTGCTACAACTAACAGTGTCTAACGGCTACGGAAATGGATTTTTATCAACCCTCAGGATCTCAGCTGAACTCAGGAATGTGCCAATTCCCAGTGGGAGCTGAATTTATGTTAGACCCAAAATTTTATTTCAGTTATTTTTGCTTAATTCGCAAAAAATACAACATCAAGCATGGAGCAACCCTATTTAAAATTTTGAATGAACAACCATCCTCATACTACACCGTTTCTGTGTTTAAGAAACATTTTCCGGAATTTGAATGAAATTCCCTGTATTCCTTGATTTTCCAGGTTTATCCAGGTAGTCGACACCCTGTCTATGCATTTTGCACCATCCCTTGGAATTCTATTCACAACTTTAAAATTCGCTTAAGTTCACATCATTAAAAATTTGGAAAATGATCAACGTCCGCCATCACGAATTTATCTTCGTCCTAGATTCTTGGAAACTTTTGCAAGTACGATTATTTTAAAGTCTAGAATTAAAAAAAAACTAGTTTAAAATCTGTGAAAAATATCCAGCTCCAGAACCACTAAACAATATCCAGGCCACTGAATTTTTAAAACATATGTTATTGCTGAAGATAAATCTGCTCCGGGTCTATTAAGAAAATACCGCGGAAAATATAATGATTGCATAATGAAATAAATTTTTCTTTCCTGAGTAATTCCCTGAGAATTCCAGTTTTTTCGTGGAAAAATAAAATTCCCCGAGGACTACCGGTTTTCTAGGTTTTTGCAGCTAATAGACACCATGTTATATATAATTCTGATGGGCCGTGGGACACTTATGCGTATATCGGCAAAATACCCCGTCATCAGAACCGGTAATTTATGACTAGTTTCATTTTTTAAAATCTGTTCATTTCAGAGCTATGTCGGATCCATCGAAGCCATCGGCGATAATCGGCAGCTGATCGACCAGATCTCCAAAGGGCGCGGCGTGAGCTATCGAGTTAACCTTCCGATCCAGGATCCCCTACCGCGTCTAACCAAACTAAGTCTCAACGGAAAGGTATTGTGCACGGGACCATCAGAGAAGGGCGGATTCGTAACCGAAACCAATCTGCGTCACTTCCTGCGTTCGGATTCCAATTGGCAACAGTTCAACCAACATAAAGGCCATAATAATAATAATAACAACAACATCAACAACAACTGTAACAATTGTAATAAAAGCAACAATGATCGAACGGCCGTCAGCGCTCCCCAGAACGTACCGAACAACTTCAAATTAGTCGGTCAGCGGGAACAGAATCACACTGTGGAAGAAACGGAGCAGGCGATAAGTCCCACCGGAAACAGTACATCATACAAGTATGTCACGAAGGTGGTTACGTATAAAGAATACGTATCGGCACCGTTGGTTGAGAAGACGTCTCATTATTTTGTGAATACAACCACCCGGGAGCAGGTGTAAGAGTGGTCAGGTTTCTGAATATTTAATGAAGGATAGCAGTGCATACAAGTTTCTTAACCAGTGTCCATAACTGATAAATGATACAATAAAAAACAAATAATAAGTTGTCATTAGATGCTTTCCACATTACTTACTCTCGAATGAAGAGTATCCCATAAATTAGGCCATCAACTTCCAAAGCGGTTTCAATACGCACACAGTGCTTAACCTTCCAGCAGCAGTCAAGTCAAAAAAGCTACACGAAAAGTCGCTTCGTGAACTGAGTATAATTTAAGTTCCAGAGCAAGAGTGTTTAGGCCTTCGGCGAAGTTGTTCAGCTGGACAAGACTCGTCTGGCTGTAGGCATTTTATTTTGTAATTCACTCACTAAGTGGCGCCAGAATGCAGAGTATTTTATTGAAACGATTGCGAAATAAATTGACCACTGCCTGAAGGGCCTTGTATAGTTTAACAACTGTATCGAAGAAAGTAAATGTCTATTTGGTCAAAGACATAACTTGTTATAAGAAGAACACGTTTTGCACTCTAGCGCCAATTATTTAGTCTAATTAGTAAATCGATTCCAAACAATACTGTTCACTGCCACTTGACTCTTGATCGTTTGAAGAGATTGCGCAGTGGTCCAGAAGGGCGAATTTCAGGAAAAAAAAGTGCATGAAGATGAAGTTTAATTGGAATGAACAATGTTTTTGTGGTCATCAAGATGACCGTTATCATAAAACATTTTTTACGCTCATGTGCCACTTTCTAACTGCCCACTGACAAATGGATCATGTGTAGCTGAAGAATATAATAATATGAATATAACATCCCGAATTTTTCGAGTTGTTTGTCTCTCTGTAACTAGTACTGCAAGGCCGGAGACGAACCAGCCCAGGGCTGAACATATCCGTGCTGCAGTGACGTGGCTCTCCGTGCTAATCAAATCGAGAGTGACGTCACGACTCGCAGAATAGGGAGGACTGTGTACAGTAGCGCCATCTAGTGAGCTATTTCCAAGCTTCAGTGGTCCCTGTTACAGAGGGTTCACCTTACTGAACAACTTTGCCGAAGACAGAAACTTGCTTGCTATACAAGAACATTATTTACACACTGGTGCCACCTTGTGAGTCATGCAACAGCACCCACCGACAGTAAAGCATCACTGATTTAACCATTTCTCGATTAATATTTCAAAAGGTCCTATCTGCTTTGATCGATTCTCTTCATCGACTGCCTCTCTCACAAAGTTTGATGCAGGGGGTTATTATCTAGCGTTCAAGACGTCAAATACAACAGCGAAAGGTTTTGCAGCTGAAAGAGAAAGTCGGTGAAGAAAATCGATCAATGCAGATAGGACCTTTTGAAAAGTGTATTTAGATTTATTTCCATTATTAACATTCGTTTTAGGGAACATGTATAAATGAAGTAGCATTTGAGGGGGAAGGGGGTGTTTCAGAAATGAACCATTTAGTCAAGGCTATTTTTTACACAGATGGCGCTCTTCCATCTTTCGTTTAACCTTCCGTAATGCCCCGTAACGTGGGTAGATCACCTTTTCGTGGTACGTTATGGGAACAGGATTTTTCAGTAATCCAAGGAACACATTTCAGTCCTTTATGCCTTGTTGATAGTGACAAGGCTCGGCTTTTTCCACCAAGGATGATCTTGAAACAAGGAAAAAATGACTTAGTAGTCTTCATCCACAGAGAACAGACGTTCAAGTTCGATCAGAAACTTGTGTAAAATAAGTGGGAACGTCGCCGTTACGTGGTGTTAGCATCTCCTGATTTTCTCTATAAATTTTCCACTTTCGACCAATTTGGCGCTAGTATCGATAAATTTTCTGTTGAAAATTGCCACTTGGCGCTACTAGCACTTAGTGTCTAGTGTAATTTGTGCAACGCCAGCGCCATCATGTTGTCAAAGAGGGTTTTTAAGTGGGGAAGTCACCGTTAGTGGCGCTCAAGTCGAATAGGAATCTTTAACAAGTTTTTAGAGAAATTTTGTTCGAGCCTCCATGTCTGTTCTCTGTGCTTCATCTATGTGATTCCTAATCTTGAATTCGTCGTTCACTAGTTTGAAGTGATTAAAACTAGGGTTCTGATGCATGGTCATTATCGGTGCCATACCTTAATTTTGTTGCTAAGGAATCCAATTTTGACTAACAAAGGGGCGCACCTTTGGGGGGTGCTTCAACACACCGAAGTCGGATCCTTACGATAAATGCAAGAATGACAACTGTAAATAAATCGAATACTTCATCATTTCTCAATAGTGATGGAGTAATACGACATGCACTAAACTAAGGACACGGGATATACTGCAATAGATCAAATTACTGGTCGCAGTGGTGTTAGGTCCCGAACAGAGTATAAAAAACTTCCGTTATAGGAATCATCCTGCTTTACAGGCAGTTTCTATAACTCAGATTTCTTACTGTCTCAGATTTAACAATCTTCCGCTCAACCTTACATTACAGAATCCATCCTGCATTTCTGCTAGGTTCTATAACTCTTGGTATGCTACCATCGATTAATCAATGCTTTACTCAAATAAGAGTATCGGGGGTCTATACCTCTTCAACTTCAGTAAACACAACCCTTATCATTCGACCATGGTGAGATTCATCCCGACTCGTGCAGGTCCCATAATCTCCTCCGAGACATTCGATGAATTGGTCTCATCACCTATACTCCGGGTTCTAGTATTTCAGTATATCAAACGACATGACTTATCAGAATCAACCGCCAACTCCGGATTCCACAATAAGAAATTTATATTGCGTACTTCAACCCTAAGAGTGGGTCACTGAATCTTCATCGTTGTGATAACAAATACCTAGCAACCAGCCCGGCGAGTACCACGTACATTTTCTCTCTAGGAACTACCTTGAGGCACATTGATTGAATATTTCCGAATCTTACCATTGGTCAGGCCATCGTATTCGAATTTCCTATCTTCCGAGCCTTCCAATTTTCCAAACGTCGCCAAATGTAGGGTAGTAAAACACTGCACATAATCGCAAGTCATCTGTAAAAAACTGGAAATGAGAAAACGGCGTTCAACGATTTTACATGTTTTCTGATTTTACACTTATTTTGGAGAGATAAATTTAAAAATAAACGTGCGATGTGATAGAATGCATCTCTGTTTACCAAATAATATTGGGTAAAATATCGCGAAATTTTTATTGTATGGCCAAAATATGAGTGGGACTGACTTGCGATTACATTTAACGTCAATGAGAAAAATAACCGCACGTCAGTCATATGAGATGGATAATAACTATGTAGTTCATGACTTTTCATACACATTTCCTAAGAGTTGGTGAAAGGTCATTTGGATTCAAGCTGCTGCAAGGGTAAGTTGGACATTGATTAGCTGCGTCGTGGGTGATTTGCCCATAATTAATATCGGCGGATTTTCACAATTCCACGATGATGCTGCACACAATTTAGCACAGTATTGAACAGGAGAAAGATACCATGGTCCCATAGAACGTTATTGCATGTTTCTGGATTGATTCCGCTGGTTCCAGAGAAATGGCCGAAACATGTTCCGGTGAGTATGGGTCTTCATCAGACCAGAGCTTTTCATAAACGTGCCAAACCCACCATGCGATAAATCAATTCACATGAGAATTTTTTTTTTTTTTTGTAGTGATCCAGTGGCAGCAACTTGCTAAAACTCTACACTGGACCCCTTTTATTGGTAAATTTTACTTCTATGAGCCTCTATTTTAAATCAACACACAGACGTTCCTAGGCTATGGTGCCCGTTTGGTCACTGTTGTTTTTGTGCTGATCCAAATAGTTTTGATAATATAATTGCGCATTCTTGTTTTTTTAAAAGGTTGATTTTCGTCCCAGTCTTGTCTTCTGTCGTCACTTATTTTGTCATTTTGTCTTGTGTATTAAACCCCACTTGTCTTGTTTATTGTGTCAACTTGTGTCTATTGTCCTTCCCCATCTGTTATTCTGTCATGACTAATTTCATTGATATATAAAAATAGTAATATCAATTACGGGATAATATGGTTATTTCTCGATTACTTTTTCAAAGGGAAGCACCAGCTCCTGCAAACAATGCATCCGATCGTCGATCCGGCGCAACCGGCAGCTCGCACACGCTTATCAACACCACCAGCAGGTAGAGGAAAATTTCCCCTATCTGATGATAGTGCCAGCACGCGCGGGCGAGCCACCAGTTACGCCAAATCGACGACCAAACGCACCGCCTACAAAAGCCGATACGCATCCTTGAAAAAGTTATCGAGATTTCTACTAATTAATGAATTATTGACAATTACCTCTCATGATCCTTGGCTCTGATTTTAACTTACCACTTTTTGATTATTTATCAAATAACTCTCCCAGAATATATAACTCCCCGATGCTTTGTTAGTTTCTGGTCTCATTTGGATTGGTCCTGAATTTGTTTGACATCCTGTTCGAAGTAATTCTTTGAGTTCCAGCTTGTACGTGTCTCACGTCATATGATTCGCCATTCACAAAGATAATGGGTTAAAAGGGAGTAAAACATACATAAAGGTATATTAGTATTAGTTGTACTTGATCCAAACAATAGAAAGAAGCATAGATGACTTAGTAGAAAAATAAAACTAATAAATAACTAAAAGTGCAATGGATAAGTGTTAGTTCCGGGATCATTTTAGTGTTAGTAGTTATGTTAGTTTTGATCCGTATTCAGCCCTGCTGGCCCCTCAAGCACTATTTGCAGCAATTGTGATAAGATTATGCGACACTGCTACTCCTACTATGTTAGATGTATGACTTGTCAATTTTCGCAACGCAATGTCTTTCAATAAATCACTCAATCAATTTGATGTTTGAAAATTTGCTCAAAAGGGCTTTGTTGACACATCATACCTTACCGAAAACTAAAGCACAATAATCCTAATTCTTATTTCAAACCTATCAACATATTTAACACATCTTTCCTAAAATTTCACTTGTTCGTAAGCGCCTGGTTGAAGATATGACTTTCGCTATTGACATTGTCTGTAATTAACAAATACACTAAATAGGAAGATTTATTATACAACTTCATAGGCTAGTCGCCTCCCTAAGCGGACCCCCCGCGTCCTATCTCTTATGTTAATTAGCTTTCTGAATTCTATAATTGAAGTTTATTTAATAAATAACTGAAATCTCTAATCTACCTACATAATCCATGCTTTTAAACTACAATTTAACGTGTTTCAAGTACTTCTGGCTTTTACATATCTTATCTTATATCTTTGTTCGTCCCAGATGACACCTTCAAGTGACTAAAATGCTTCACTTTGAAGTTAGTTTCCAAGCTAATTTTAAATTGTATATTGTATAGGGTAAATGTTCCAACTACGCTCTCACATTTCCACTATGTGGCACCACAAAAATACATATGGGCATGTCACAATAGAAGCACACCACAGTGGAAATCCCGAGCCATAGTTCAAACACTTATCCCAAATCAAAATGAAGCACATATAAGATTAGTTAAAATACCATGTACAAAAATGATGTTTAACATTGTTTTCTGAGTAATACCTCAATGAAAACAACAATGAAAGCTTGTCACGCAAATAGAAGGAGCACTGTTGGGCACTTTCTGAAATATTTCAATAGTATAATTCCCTTGCAAACCCAAATAAATCTATCTGCGTAAAAAATAAATAAAATAAGAGTGATTTGCGGCAAAACCCGCCAGTATCACACCCAACGTCAGTGCCTATACGTAAGCGTACTCTCGCTTACGCGGCTCTCAATAAAAGGAGTAACAAGTGTGATACTATCACTGCTAGACTAGATCTTTGGTTCTCTCATGCAGCGGTTTATCAGAGAGGGGAAGCTTAGTAATCCCCATCGCCTGCCCATGTCGCCATTCTATCGCGGCATGAGCCAGCAACACCGACCATAAACCTACCGTCTCCAACACTCCACTATAAAGCATGAAATTAAGCCCGCCCACCAACAGCAAGGTGCAAAAACTAGCCAAGGGGAGGGTAAATCAATTCACATGAGAATTCAAAATTAAAGTCAATAAGAGTCATGATGAGTGACCAGCACAATGTTGGCCACACCAGGACATGTTCCGGATATCCCCGGGGAAGTGGTAAATCCTAGGGTAAATCCTTTTTAAATCAAAATCCATCAAGCGATGCATCAAATCACATGAGAAGTCAAAGCCATATCCATTAGCGGTCAAACTGAGTATCGTAAGAACTATATTGGCCACATCTGGACATGTTTCAGCTACCCTAGGGGAAGTGGACAAAATCTGTCTTGAGACAAATCTCATGATGCGATTTGTTGTCTAACATTTTTAATTCTATAGAAGCAATCCTATAAACATATCTGTGACGTTGTTTTATAGTTTATTTAATGAAAGCCTATTTTTTGTAATGGGACTGATTTGCGGTTACTTTTCGCTGTGGGACAATTTCATTTTTCTTGAACAAACCATCTTTTTTCAATAGCACATCTCAAAAAACATAGAAAGATAAACTGAATAATGACGCTAACTCAAAATTGATAAAAATGCAGATGGGACTGACTTGCGATAACCGGCAGATACAGATCTTCACTCTTCGGTGTTCCAAACGATAATGCTTTATTTGATACACGTCATTTATTATAACAGTAAATCAAGGGTACTGAGGGAGAGTTGCGAAGAGAGAAAAATTGAAATGCAGCCAGACGGCTGCTGTCACGAACTGTCATTGGGAGCCAAACAATTTTATGATGCTTTTCTTAAGGCCCACGCACATTAGATCCGGATCGGACGCGTTGCGGCAAAGTGACAGCTAAATCTATTGTCTTACTGTCAAATTTACGTCAACGAAACGCATAAAACGGATAAACGGATCTAATGTGGATGGCCCTTTACAGTTAAACAAGAATACACAAGGCAGTATTGAAATCTTGCATAAAGTAATTTATGATAAACTGTCGTTTCCATTTATTTGGACACCGTTTTTTTTAATTCATTCAAAATACACACAAATTAATATTGATACCATTAACCAAGGTTTTTTTCAAAACATCTAGAGACATAATAAAATACTAAACAGAAAAGAACAGCTTCTCACTGCACACTGAACAATCTCAAACAATCACTACACGCTCAAAGCAAAACACGCTATTTTGCTACGCGTGTTTTGACTTAATTTCAATGGCACAAATTTTCATGGCAAGAAGAACGAGTATACAATGAATTCCGTGTGTGCTATCTGCTTCTTCCTCCCAGGTAGTAAGTAATAAAAATACCATATAGAAATTTGGAAGTGACAATAATGCCTATTAAGGTCCAAACAAAGTTGACGACAACCTAAAGAAATCATTCGTGGACTTTGTCGTTTAGTTTTAGACTCGATTAAACATTCGAAGTCCCTCCTTTTTTACATATTCTGCACAAAAGATACTGTTTAAGTCGCTCCCCATTCATCAAAACGGCGGAAAATAGGGTAAAGCACTACTTCATCGTAATCGCCCATTTCCGTTCAATCGATCAGAAAAGATCAATAATATCAATGATTTTACCATGCACAAATCAATAAAAGGGTTTTTCCGATACGTTAGTTCATTATCTACAACATAAATCCTGTTAGAGCGCATTGTATGAATATTTAAGCTCATTGTTTTCAAAACAAAAGAAGCGCTCCTAGCGAATCCCCTTTTTCTACGTTTATCCGTAGGACGAAGGAAATCTAATGGCGTTTCAATGCGTTAGGACGGAATTGAAACTCGTAGAACGAATTTAGAATCAAGAAGCAGTATTAGATTTTAAACAATATCTCAACAATTTGTGGCTCTTTATCAAATCCAACGATGGAAAGGTGAATAAATTTAGAAGTCATCTTTGACAGAAATATTCCATTTTTCGTTCAAACTCGTTCAGAAAAGAGAGGTAAAGCACGGGTTGTGCTTAGTAGGACGGAAATAAGATTAAAAACCCTACTGTTAGGGGCGGGGCTCAGAAAGTATTTTTTTGTACAGAGTATGTAAAAAAGAAGGGACCTAAATGCATATAGGGGTAAGAGGGGCATAGTGAACAGGTGGGACATAGTGAGCATCCTGTGCACCAGTTTCGACTTCCGGCCGTTCGGAACAAATTTATTGGTGGTAGGATCAAGATCATAATGATATTGAACCTACTACCAGTTGATTTGTTTCATGCAGCTAGAGATCCAGGGCGGGATGCTCACTATGCCCCACCTGTTCACTATGCTCCACGCTGTCAGCTGAAAATTTGTTGAGGGATACACCGATTGTTTATTATCATCACTATCCTTTAGCAACTACCCAAATTTTTCATACATGAGTCCCTCGAAAAGGAAAAAACTCTGTCAGAAATGGCGTTTGACATCGATTTAGGTGGACTATTTTGACTGTATAACAAAATACGCTACGAGGAGTGAAGAGTCCAAAATAGGTCAACAATACCCTACGTTATTTATGGATGGTCCCTTACGCTTTGACGGAAGCTGTGCTGCCGTGAGATGGCAATGTAATGTAAATCCATCAAGTGAATTGTTTAAAAATCTGATATTTTTGTTTAACGCGAGGTTGATATAAAAAAAAACTCGCAAGAATATTTGGATCTGTTTAATATGATCTAAATAAAGTTAAAAATATGATCCTTGAGGTTAAAAACAGCTTTTAATTTTTATGTAGGGGAAATGGCTCTAATGTTGGCCTATGGATCTAAGATTGGGCCCATCGCTAAAAATATGCTATTTATCAATTTTATCTAGATGAACGCGTCATTGGGACGGTACTAATGGATATTTTTGGTCACTATTGAAAATTTAGTCGATTGCTGAATGGCCCAACATGGGCCCAAATTAGGGGCATTTAGGCCGACATTACATCCATTTCCCCTACTTATTGTGGACGTTAGTTATGCGTAGAAACAGGAAACAGTTTTCACTGTTTCTGCAAAAATGTATGGCTTACACACTTTCTGTGCAGGCTTCAAAATCAAATGTTGTACAAGTGTGGAGTGTTTTTGGGTGACATTGAAGGATGCAGAACACGAATATGGTGAAAAGTAAAAATTTATCATTGTCACGGCAGTGTGGGTATGCACATCACCATCAGGACAGAATGGGAACTGCAAAGGAATCACGGAGATGAACTAGCCCGTCGCTAAAAATCTCCTAAACAAAGTATTATCAAAATGCAAAGCAATCAGCGAAGCAAAAAGTGGCAACATTTTATATTCAGCAAGCGATGCGTTTCACACGGGCTTTCTATTGAAATATATGGGCACTCACACCATCAAAGCATGCAGCCTATGTTAACTACAGGCAAAAGCTTGCCTTCTTCCGCCAGGTGTGCTAGTGTTCTCGAATGAAAAATTTTCCTCTTTTGGATTTGAAGTTCCCTTTCTGTTCTGTGCTCGAGGCAAAAGTGGAGCCACCGACAAACCGACATGACACTTAATTCTGACTTATCCCCGAAAATCGTAAACGGCCGATTTAAATGTGCAGTGATCCGAACTGTCAAAACCATAGGATTTTTTGATCTAGATAAAAATAATTTATCCAGAATATATCAGACACGACCCAATTCATAACTTTTACATGCGGGTTCATGGCTTAACTAAATATTTCCCGCGAAAATGGAGCCAGATGTCAGTAGTGTGCGTTGGTCAGAAATTTTATTGTTTTTGCTATGGTCATTCATGTCGGTTTGTCGGTGGTGGAGCTTCCAAATGACAGTTCTTACGCTTTAGGCTATTAACGAAGACAACATATCAAGAAGACTGACAACTCTTCCACTTTCTCAAACGACCAGTATGAGACAGGCACAATCACGTCATCTGCCGCTCAAAGGTAAATGCTCCGAACGAATTGGATAGCAAAGGTTCCATCCTCAGAAGAAAGGTTTGTGTATTTGCTCATTTTTCTATGCGTTGCTTCCACCTTCGCTCGAGCGCAGCGCTACTGTGTTTGTCGCTCAGATTCAGACAAAGTCGCCAGTCTTCTTGATATGTTGTCTTAGCTATTAACCAACAGGAATTTCTTTCAATCAACGTACTACTTTGGCTGGTTTCATAAATTAGCATCATATTTCTGCGATCAATGTCCTACCAGTTTGTTGACTCAAAATCCTTAGATTGATAATCGATAATCTGACTACGTGGTATGTTTCTATAATGTATACTGTGTCGTTCGTATTGTACGTACTCTAGAAGGGTGATAAAATGCACTCGTGAACTTTACTGTTACATGTAATATATATATATATATGTACCTCAAACCTTCTCTGTTACTCTTCAAACTATCTCAAACCCGCTTTACATTTCCTCCATGTCTATTTTCCTTTTTAAATTTATACACATATATAAGCATTTTTCGAAAATATATCCTCATGAGACAGTAACTTTAAATAATCTTCCACATAACTTCGACAGCCCCTTATATAGTATATGAGTTCTACTGACCTCAATCATAGTACACTCTAAGACATTTTGTTCACTATTCAATAGCGTTTCGCGATGATAAATACATTTTTTTTTTGTTATTGCTTCCAATGCTACACGTACAGAGAAAACACTTATCTTCTACCTTACGAGCCGAGTTCCCATTTGATAATATGCGGCTCGATCGTCAACTTTTGCAGCAGTATCGATTGCATCACGTATTCGGTCGTGCAGATCTGACACGCACCATGTTTGCCCTTTTGGATGAACGGTTGAATGAAGATTCGGTCTTCCGGGCAGCCAATGATCACATAAGTGCCCGGCTTTTCCAAATTCGTTTCCCGAATCTTCTTGACCGAACGTGGATGTTTCTCCACCACCCCACCGCTCAGTTCGATCATCTGTTTTACATCCTTGCTGGATGGTTTCACCTGAGGCGTAATGAAGAATATCTTACCTTCGAAGAGCTTCGATCGGTTGGGCGATTCAAGCACCTTGTACAGGTCGCACTTAAACATATCGTCCAGCTCCTTCACGTCCAGCTTGTAAGATTCGACCGCCAGGAAGCATCCGGCCATGGCACTGTCCGTAATCCATTTGCTCGATAGCAGATACCTGACCGTGGTTATAGCGGTGATTAGTTTAACCGTCCGTGCCACCCGGGTCATCACCAGATGCGTAGCATCCGCCGGACCACTAGCAATGCGACCGCCGAGTGTCCTGTTGATATTAAGGATCCATTTTATAAAACTATAACCAAAAATATACTCGACGAAGGCAAACTTACATAACAGCCCTCGTCAATCCCTCCGTATTATCGATTTGAGAAAACATAATATTTGGTATACTGTCAGCATCCGGTTGCCGTTGACAAATAATATCAGCCGGAATCGGCTCCAACGGTGGAAGCGTACGCATTTTCTTAGTCGCTGTAGCCGGTTGAGGAGGTTCAGAAAGACTACGTTTGACTCGTTCGTGTGATTCCGGAGTCAAGTTAATAGGAGATTTCCACGCAGCTTTGAATGGGACAAGTTGGAATCAAATTTTAAATTTAAGAAAAATATAGAATCGAAAATACTCACTCATCAAATGTATAACCAAGTTGTAATCGATCCGGAACGGACAGTTCAGATTAAACTGCTGATACTTTGGTCCGTCGCACTGCTGCATCGCACTTAGATTGCCCAAAAGGATATCACTCAGCCACACCGTATTCACCGTCGGAATGTTCCATTCTTTGGCGTATTTGTATTTCTGATTGTCGATCCTTTTGCAGACCAGCACCGTGTTCGATTTGCTAAAGTACGGTGTCATTTTGGCGCCAGATTCCTCAATCATCTGTTTGATGCGCACTCGCTCTTCGCCTTCGAAGCCGGTAATAGACATGTTGTGCTTGGTGGCCGGTTTCTGATTGCCAAAGATGGAAGGCGTTGGAAGGTGCAAGGCTTGCCAGGGTGGAAGAAGTTGCTTCTTAAGGACAATGTCATTCAACCAATAGGAAGTGATGCAGCGCTTGGCGTCGCGAATGGCCTGCATGACGACGCCATGACGCTGCGTTCGGCAGAGGACGTGTGTAACTTTGGGACTGTAGCACTGCTCTATGTCGCCACCGTGCTTCTTGATGATGGTTTTCCAGTCCTCCACGTCATTCTTGTGGGTCTCGTCGTACTCGATTATGTAGAAGGTGCACCCAAGGAGGAACAATTCCGGATGTAGCTTGAGGTTCGGATTATGTCCGTAGTACTGAGGTCTAGGAAGTGGAGCTCGTCCTGGACTGAACGGTGGGGCTCCCTTAATAGCGGATGGAGATTGAGGAATTCCTGGAGTTCCCGGAGGTACTTGCTGAACAATTTGGTTGGCAACTGCACAAACAGGGGCTCCGGAATTGGTGATATTTCCAAGCGTACGACGTTGCTGCTGTTGCTGTATTGCTAGTAAATCCTGAGGCGAGCGAGGTGTCATGGTTTGCTGCAGTGCTGCATTGTGTTGTGCGGTCATCATCCGAAGAGTTCCAGCTGCTGATGGTTCAGCTGCTGCAGCCACTTCAGGGATATTAGGAACAACGCTTCCATTGGCCCCAAGGCGGTTGCTAAGCATATTGGCAAGAGCAGTTTTAGTTTGATTCTTCATCTGTTGTGAACCGGGAGGAACATTTGGATCTTGAGGATGTCCTACGGGAGGTCCCACGATGGTTTGCTGAATGGTAGCTGTTCCATCACCAACAACATCAGGTGGAAAACCACCAGCTCCTCGCGGAGAAATTGCTTGCCCTTGCTGAGGTTGACCGGGAACTCCCTTCTGTGCTTGCTCTCGCTGCATTTGCATTTGAATGAGTCTATGCTGGTGCTGTTGCTGCTGCTGCTGCTGTTGCTGCTGACGTTCGAGTTGCATCCGCTGTTGATGTTGTGGTGAAACATTCGGATCTACAGGGAACTGGCTCATGGGACTTCCAGGTGGACCAATATTTTGCTGAGTTATAGGGCTAAGTCCCGGAGCTCCCGGACGGACGACACCCTGGCGAGCGTTTTGCTGCTGAATCCATTGCATCTGTTGCTGCTGATTTAGTCCCGGGGGCATCGGTCCTCTGTAAATGATCTGCTGCTGACGGACACCAGGTTGCGCTCCAGGATGTCCCGGACGAGCTTGGAAAGCGGCCGCCTGCTGCTGTCTTTGCATGAGAACACGCTGCTTTGCCTGTAGACGATCGATGTACTCCTGGCGACTCGCAGGATCCAGCTTTTGCAATGTAGCGTGCGTCTGCGGATCCAGTTGAATGTACTGCCGTTGAACCTGGGGTCTTACTGTAGATCTGATAAACTGTGGCGGACCACCAGGTTGCTGTCCAGGAACTGCAGCACCCGATGGAACAATAGTTTGTTGAATGATGGTAGCTCCAGCAGGGATTCCTTGAGGTTGCTGTGGAAATTGCTGAATCGGAGATTGATTCGGTTGGTTCGGCTGCTGGATAGGACTTTGTGGTGTCCATTGTTGTTGCTGCTGAACTTGACTCGACTGTTGACCAGAAAGCAACTGCTGCTGGATGATTTCGCCATTGGGACCTGTCTGCTGCAGAATTTGATTACCATCCATAGGTTGAGAAGTCTGAGGAGGTCCCTGGCCGACGATCTGCTGCTGTAGTATGCCCGGACCTTGACCCGGTTGTTGACCCGGTTGCTGCAGCAACTGATGAACTGTTCCACCACTGGTTGAAAGCGTTTGCTGTAGGATTTGTTGCTGGGGTTGACCAGGCTGTGGACCCTGAACAGGTTGCTGGATAATTAACTGTTGCTGCGGTTGCTGTTGTTGAGACAGCATCTGCTGCTGAATAATGGTTTGCTGCTGGTTGGGAGCCATTTGTTGTTGTTGAACAACAATTGTTTGCTGTGGTTGCTGTTGTTGCCCGGGACCAGGCATCATTCCCGGTCCAATAGAAGTCATAATCTGCTGCTGTTGTTGCGGACCGGGAATACCCTGTTGTTGAAGCGGTCGTTGGTGAATTTGGACAATGTTTTGTCCCATGCCTGACGCTGATTGAACTGGTTGCTGAAGAATTTGCTGACCTTGCTGCTGTCCAGGACCCGGGCCGGCTCCACTAACGATGATCTGCTGACCTTGCTGCTGTTGTTGTTGCTGCTGTTGTTGTTGCTGCTGGTGTTGCTTTTGTTGCTGTAAATTCTGCATGTATTGAATTCGTTGTTGCGGAGTCATGGCCTGTATTTGTCCGGGAAGAGGTCCAGGAGCAGACGAAGTAATAATCTGCTGCTGATTGCCGCCTTGGTTGATGATGACAATATTCTGCGGTTGCCCTCCGGATTGTCCACTGCTGGGTGGTCCCTGCAGAACTTGCTGCTGCACAATACGTTGCACAATCTGCTGCTGTGGTGGTTGTTGACCAGGCGGAAGTCCAGCTCCGCCAGGTTTCTGCATTTGTTGTTGCTGAAGAATCTGTTGTTGCGATTGCTGTAGCTGTTGTTGTTGCTGCTGCTGCTGCTGCTGCTGCTGATTGGGAGGTTGACCGACTATCAGTTGCTTTGTGATGGTTTGATAATTGGAAGAAGGAGGATGAATAATCGTTTGTTGGATTATCTTCGGTTGTTGACCAATTCCACCTTGCAATTGCTGAATGTTCGGCTGCTGAATCAGCTGTCCTCCCTGGACCGGTTGTCCTGGTTGACCAGGAATTTGTTGTTGCGAAAGCGTGCGCTGTATCATAACGGGTTGCTGCTGTTGTTGAGGTGGTCCCGGTTGCTGACCTGGAAGTTGTTGTATCTGCTGTTGACTAATCTGAATCTGCTGCTGCTGACCAAGTTGCATTTGCTGTTGCTGCTGTTGCTGCTGCTGCTGCTGCTGCTGCTGAGGGCCCTGGTTTATCGTTATCTGACGAATGATCTTTTGCTGCTGAAGTTGCTGCTGCCCATTGGGCCCTTCAACGCCCGCGGTAAGGTTCGACATGATTTGTTGAATTTGCTGCTGCTGTTGCGTTTGTTGTTGCTGTTGAAGATTCTGCCCTCCTTTGAAAACAACCTGTATATTTTGCTTGGGTTGGCCGGGTGGTTGCTGTTGCTGAATAACCTGCTGTATGATTTGCTGGTTGGGTTGCCCCTGTTGCATGGGACCTTGATTCTGCTGAATGAGCTGCTGCTGCTGCTGTTGGGATTGTGCAGACTGCTGCTGCTGGTGGTGTTGTTGTAGCACTTGTTGCTGCTGTTGTTGTTGTTGTTGTTGGGACTGCAAGATTTGCTGTTGTTGCTGTTGATGTTGATGCTGTTGTTGTTGTTGCTGCTGCAATTGCTTTTGCTGCTGCTGTAGTAGCTGTTGCTGGGCCATTTTCTGCTGTATTTGATTAACGTTGTGCTGAACTTGCTGTTGCAACGTTTGCTGTTGAATATTCTGCTGCAACTGAACCTGGTTGGGTTGCTGCAAAGCTTGTTGCTGAATCTGTTGAATCTGTTGCTGTTGCTGTTGCTGCTGCTGTTGTTGGAGTTGAGCATTTTGCTGATGCTGCTGCTGGATCTGTAATTGCTGTTGCTGCTGTTGTTGTTGCTGTTGCTGTTGTTGTTGCTGTTGCTGTTGCTGCTGCTGTTGTTGTTGTTGCTGTTGCTGCTGTTGTTGCTGTTGTTGTTGCAAATGTTGCTGTTGCAACTGCATCTGTTGCAGAGGTGATTGGAGCTGTTGCTGTAGCTGCTGATGTGGTTGTTGTGGTTGTTGTTGTTGTTGCTGTTGTAGTGTTTGTTGATGCTGTTGTTGTTGTAGTGTTTGCTGTTGCTGCTGTTGTAGTGATTGCTGTTGCTGCTGTTGTAGTGATTGTTGTTGCTGATGTAGCGGTTGTTGCAAAACAATGCTTTGGAAAGATGTTTTATTAGTAAAAGTTAACGCAAATGGTCTAATTATGACAGTGACAGGGACAAAAATTCAAAAACAATACTTCAAGAAATGACGCTTCGATGTAAGACTTTTCCCTAGCACAGACATCAACATTGAAAACTGAGTAAATTTTAATAAAACTGTTTGAATTTGGTAAACAACATAAGATCCCACAAAATGTTGAGATAATCATTTGAACAATTTCGTTCGAAGTCTACTGATTAAATTATAAATCAGCAACATCCGCAGATGTTGTGCCCATCAAATGTTCTTTCGTGCTGAGAACTAGAGATCAAATTCCACCAGTACAATTCACGAATGACGGACCTCATTATTGAGAGATCAATAAGGGATCGTCCATTAATTATGTCACACTTTTAGGGGGGAGGGGGGTTTTGGAAACTGTGACGAGCCTTACAAAAAACAATTAAGGTCCATATTAAAAATGTGACAAAGGGGGAGGGGGTTGAAAATGGGCCAAATTTGCGTGACATAATTAATGGACCTTCCCTAATAAATTTTTCCCACACACTTAAACTTTTTGCCGAGAAGGGCACCACTGAGCAGCTCGACATTTTATTTTGCTGGATGAGTGAAAAACTCACAGTGGTCACTCATTTGAGCACAGCCGGTGCCGGTGGTGTAGTGGTAAGCACGAGGAGCGCGCACTACCAGGTATGATTGCGTGATATTTAAAATATATCGTAGTATTTTAAATACTTTGAGGACAGTAATAATTTTATTTTGAATACTTTTAAGGGTATTGAAAGTAAACAACATATAATTAACGATAATTAATGTAATGGTAAATAATTTAAATGTAATTAAAATAATATAAGTATCAATATTTAAAGTATTTAATGAAATTTAGAGTGTATTTAAAGTAATGAAAACAGTAATGACAAGATTTTAAATATTTGGTCAACAGGCTGCGTAGTAATGAAAGACTAGTGCCTGCCCCTCGGGTAAGCGTGACTGCTTCCTCACCCCAATGGGTCTGGGTTCAATCCCAGCCGAGGTCGATGGGATTTTTCTGAGGCATAAAAATCTCTGGTCACGTCTTACTTCGGAAGGGGAGTAAAGCCGTTAATCCTGGCATATTCGATTGCCGTCAATGGATGGCAATCGATGTACGTCGGTGATTGGCACTAGATTGCGGAACAGAGACCGACGTTAAATAAAGGAATGAAAAGAAGAAGAAGAAAAACTTGCCGAGATTTAGCAACATTTTTGTTTGTTTGCTGAGATCTCGGCAAAATTCCCATTTGTTAATTGAATCTCGGCAGGTTTTTTACTGAGATCCAGCAAAATAAAATGCCGAGCTGCTCGGTGGTGCCCATCTCGGTAAAAAATCTATGTGTGCAGTATCCCCTTTTTCAATTGATATTTTCAGTCTGTTAATGAGGTGGCAAAATCTTATCTGTGGAACATTCCCTATTATGTACCTATAGGCGGGGTGGGCTTCTTAGGCTGATCGCCTAAGACGAATTAAACCTACATACCTCTGTCCTTGAATTGGTTGTTGCTGCTGTTGAAGCTGCTGTGAATGTTGTTGTTGCTGCGTTTGTTGAACTTGGCTTACCATCTGCTGTGACTGTTGCTGTTGCTGTGGTGTCTGATGTGATGACGGTTGTAGTTGCAGCTGCTGCATTGGCTGTTGTTGTTGTTGTTGTTGTTGTTGCTGCTGTTGAGTATTTTGAGATTGTTGCATTGTGATCTGTGGAACAGGAAACAAAGTATTTTCACTTTGCCAATTTAATTCAAATTCAGTAAATCCGGCACGAATGCCACGATCATGATAAAGTGTCGTTAATAAATAAAAAAAATAAACTCACTTTCTGAAACTGTTGCTGTATTTGCAACTGTTGTTGCTGTTGCAATTGTATTTGTTGCTGCTGATGCTGAGTCGACTGTTGATTTTGAATGTGTGTTTGTTGTTGTTGCACAACTTGGTTGATCGGTCCAATAGGCCTGTTCAGGTTCTGCGATGGTTGCTGCTGTACTTGGGGTTGTTGCTGATGCTGCTGCTGCTGCTGTAGTTGTGCTTGTTGTGGCCCTGGTGGTCTGACCAACCTAGGACCGGCGGTTTGTTGCTGGCTTTGGTAGTTTTGATGAACTTGCTGCTGTTGCGGCTGTTGCTGCACTGGTACCGTCTGAACTGGGGCTACAGTTTTCGGAGCCTCTTGGATCGTTGGTTGACCTTGTGACACTGGGACTTCTTCTTCCTTCTTATTGCTACCGCTAGTCGGAACTTCTGTCTTGGCAAGATTTTCCTCGAAATCAAAACCAATTATGCTTGATAGAGGCTTTTCTGGTTCCGTTTTTTGTGCCGGAGTTGCCGGGCGCGGTGCTTGCTTGAATATTCTAGGTGTAATGACTAATCGTGGATGATAGGGTGCGCTAGCTATGAGGCTCTTTGCTTTCAAACTCTCAATAACCCAGTCGGGAGTGACTACAGTTACGCCGCCTACGCTGGCTGCCTTGGCGTAAATCGAACCCTTGGTATTTCCACTAACCAAATGTGTGGTCTGTCTATCGAATAGATTCCTAACCTTGCCACCGTTGAAGGTGATAACTGTGTACAATTTCTTCAGATCTCTATTGTCCAGCTGGGTAGCGGCAAATGTGAGATTACTAAACAAGGCCGACTTGAGCGGGAAGTACGCCTTTGTGGACGCCAATCGACCTAGACGGACCGATGCCAGTACCCAAGCTTCCGTGACGGAAGGAACGTCGTACAGTTCCGCCGCTTGGGCTATGTCGTTTTCGTCGTAATTGGCACCGCACACGACGTGGGTAATAAAGTCCATGTAGGAGGAGATTGATGCTCCGCCATCTTCGAGCAACTTGGCGATCTGTTAAAAATAGGTTGCAAACAAATAAAGGTTTTTTAAGGGCTAGGAATATAATGTCAAATTTCATTATTTTATGAATGCTTCTAGTGCATGAAGTGTCTTCAAAGCGGACCTGAACTCAACTCAAAAATTGTTTACCTCCGAGAAGTGGTCCGAACAAATGATGTTATGTTCCATGTAAGATTCCTAAGGTCTAAAATGTTGGAACACTCGTTGAAACGACGCAAGCGAGAGCGCAAAATAATTGGATTTTTAACTTTTGAAGTCCTTAAATGTAATCACACGTTAAACTATTTTTGAGATGGTGCTGTTTCCTTGGTATACATCGTTGAAATGCAGTATGGGAGAAGAGAGAAAACTAATTATTTTCATTAATTACAAGCAGTAATCAAGAATTCACGTGGCCAAGTGCATATAGGTAGTAAATATCTACCTTGTTTGGAACTTTTACTTTAAAATCTAGACCAACATTTGAAAAGGACGTAGCTCCAAAATGTAAACAAACCATATTTTGCCACATATAGACAGAACAGTTCTAAATAGAGCTGGACTTAGGGCCTAACAACTTTTGAAAACAATGACTTCTATCGATGATTTCTAGAAATTCAAGGCTCGCCCACGCAAACTAACATCCTCATCAAGTAGGGAGAGACTTCTCCTATCCGATGGGTATTGTTCTCAAAGTTCTGTGCAAAGTTATCCTGAATCGGATACAGGAGAAGATCGACGCGACTCTCCGACGGCAGCAGGCAGGATTCCGTGCCGGAAGATCTTGTGTGGACCATATTGTCACGCTCCACATCATCCTGGAGAAGGTCAATGAATTCCAAGAGTCCCTTTATTTGGTATTTATTGACTACGAAAAAGCTTTCGACCATCTCAATCACGAGAATCTGTGGGGCGCCCTGAGACGCAAGGGAGTCCCGGATAAAATCGTCAACTTCATCGAAGCGCAGTATGAGACTTTCACGTGCAGAGTTCTGCATAACGGAGGCTTGTCCGACAATATTCGGGTAGTCGCTGGTGTGAAACAAGGATGTATACTATCACCGCTACTGTTTCTCATCGTAATCGACGAGATCATGGTAGGTGCAATTGACCGTGTACCGAACCGTGGCCTGCTTTGGCAGCCTATCACCATGGAGCATCTCAACGACTTCGATTTGGCTGATGATGTTGCTCTACTAGCACAACGGCGCTCTGATATGCAGAGTAAGCTCAATGACCTAGCCGAACGCTCCTCTGCGGCTCAACGTCTACAAGACCATATCGTTGAATATCAACACGGGCAACCCTTCCAACTTTACGGTAGCGGGGCAAGCAGTGGAGAAGGTCGAAAGTTTTCAATAACTTGGCAACCAAATAGCGTCGGACAATGTCTGTAGTATCGAAATATTTCCAAACAGATTCACAGTGATTTTGTGGATTAAGCATGGTCTATTGCCATGTATACTAGATGTTATAGGTTCTCCAAATCCTCCTGGAGATCAGTTGATTAGTTCTACTAGTTCAACCATGACTGGGACGATGTTTATAGTATCAAAGTACATCAAAACAGATTCATAGTGTCTATGTGGATTATGCACGAACTATTGCCACGTATACCAGAAGCTCTAGGTTCTCCAAATCGTCCTGGAGTTCAGATGATTATTCTACTAGTTCAACCATTACTAGGATAATGTCAGTAGTATCGAAATATGCCCAACACTATGAATCTGTGTCTTCGTGGATAATGAACGACCTATTTCTATGTATACCAGATGTTCCCAAATCGTCCTGAAGCTCAGCTGATATGTTCTACTAGATCAACAAAGTCTGAGATAATATCTGTAGTATCGAAATATCGATTTGGAAATCCTAGAACATCTGGCATACACGGAAATAGGTTGGCATGATCCCCATAGACACTGCATATCTTTTTGGACATATGTCGAGTCTACTGATATTGAATTAGTCTTGGGTGATCTGAACTGAACTGATCTTCAGAATGATTTCAGAACCTTTCTTCTTCTTCTTCGCATTTTTCAAGCTTATTGCATATCGCATATTAGCTTATTGCGTGCTCTCAACTTAGTGTTCTAGATGCACTTCCACAGTTATTAATTGAGAGCTTTCGATGCCTGTACCATTTTTGCATTGGTATAATTGTGTGGCAAGGCAAGTCCAATCATACTTTTTATGCCCAGGGAAGTCGAGAAATTTTCCAAACCGAAAAATTCCCTTACCGGACCGGGAATTGAACCCAGCCACCTCCAGCATGGTCTTGCTTTGTAGCTGCGCCTTTACCGACTGAGCTAAGGGAGGCCCTTTAACATCTTGTATACATAGTAATATGTCGGGTATGATCCACTTAGACACTATGAATCTGCTTGGACATATTTCGATACTACAGACATTATTCCAGTCTTGGTTGATCTAGTAGAACAAATCAACTGAACTCCAGGACGATTCGAAGAACCAAGAATATCCGGTATACCTGGCAATTAGTCGCATTATACGATTCGTTTATGATTCGACAACCTAAAATGCTACGACTTATAACGAATATACGTTGTATACGAGTACCCCGAATACAACGTATGACTCGTCTAATTTTGCATAGCATTTGCAATGTAAAATTAGACGAACTATACGTTGTATTTGGGGTACTCATATACAACGTATATTCGTTATAAGTCAGGTAACACAGTAGGCATGTCCATATAAGAATTAAAAAATATAATGAAAATGTCTCACATGACCATTTGTTGGAGTAAATCGGTAACGCAGTGTGCTGATCACCTCCTTGGAGACCGAACGTCACCCCTAGCAACCTAAGTTTTCTTAAATAAACAACGGTGAAAAACTTTTCATTCCTGTTCAAGACTCCACTCAAGCTAGTCGTTAAATAAAATCCATTCTACTTTTAAACTTTGCTGTTCCGGTTCTTTCTAACCATCAAGAGGTTATGGGCGACTCACGCAAGGATTTGGTCCACGGGATCCCGCAGTTCTCGGGCACCGGTTTCGACAATTGGCAATTTCGAGTGGAGAAGTATCTGAAGTCCGTGAAGCTGTTGGATATCATCAAGAAGGATCCTCCGATGGAAGCGGCCGAGCTCACGAAGTTCCAGGAAGATGACGGTAAGGCGGCGTTCCTGCTGACGTCATTTGTTCATGACGATTTGCTGCATTTGGTGCGGGACAAGGAGACGTCCAAGGAGATGTGGATGAGCCTTGAATCCGCCTACGCCAAGAAGTCCGTCTCGTCGCAGACATTCGTCAGGAAGCAACTTGCGAAGCTACGAATGATGGAAGGTTCGTCTGTGAAAGATCACCTGAAAACCTTCGAAGAGCTGATCCGACAACTGAAGCTGGCCGGAGCGAAGCTTGAAGAGAACGATATTGTGTCCCAGCTGTTTGCTACCCTTCCCGAGTCGTTCGATCCGTTGGTTACGGCACTGGAAAATCTAGGTGAGGAAAACCTAAAACTGGATGTTGTTCGCGAGCGCCTTCTTGCCGAGGAGCTCAAGAAAACCGACCGGGCAGCGGATTCCTGCCAAGAGAAACCTGCAGCATTCCAAGGATCGAAGCAGAAGCCTGGTAAGTTCACCGGAAAGTGTAACCGTTGCCAGAAGAAGGGGCACAAGGCCAAGGACTGTCGTGTGAAGTTGAAGACAGATGGGCGCGCTGAAGCTAACGCTGCTGCTGGAGGTAAGGCGGTGGCTTTTATGACCGGGAGTTCCTTTCAAACAAAGGACGAGGGAGCAGTTTCCTTTAAGCTGGATTCCGGAGCCTCGGACCACCTTGTGAATGTGAAGCACTGTTTCGCCGACCTCACGAAGCTGAAGCACCCTGTCGTCATAAACGTGGCGAAGGATGATCAATCCCTGATTTCCCGGCACAGTGGCACGATCAACGGCGTCAACAAGGAAGGTAACTATATCAGCTTGAAGAACGTCCTCTTCGTACCAGATCTTCGAGCGAACTTGCTATCTGTGAAGAAGATGGCAAAAGCGAATCTTGATGTCACATTCACGAAAAAGGAAGCGATCATGAAGCAAGGTCGTGACCTGATTGCGAGATGTCCCATGCGGGGCGATTTTTACGAGCTCGATCTCCGTGTCGATACGGTGGCGGCCAACATGTGTGGAGCTGTGACTGGTAACCTGTGGCATCGTCGACTGGCTCATTTGGGGAGCAAGAGTTTGCAGACACTCGCGAAGCATGGCATGGTAACAGGTATTCCCGAGAAACCAGATAAATTGGATTTTTGTGATGTTTGTGTTCTCGGAAAGCAGTGCCGAGAACCATTCACGGGTACTAGAGTCCGTGCTACAAGACCTCTAGAACGAGTGCACTCCGATGTGTGCGGTCCAATTACACCAGCGGCTTGGGATGATTCTCGGTACTTCGTCTCCTTTATTGATGATTACACGCACTTTGCAGTAGTATATCCCATCAAGAAGAAGTCCGAGGTGTTCCAGAAGTTTCGAGAGTACGAGGCCATGGCGAGTGCCGCTCTGGGACATTCGATTTCGAAGCTGACTGTCGACCAAGGGCGCGAGTATTGCTCCAATGACCAGCGTGATTGGTACGTTTCCAAGGGGATCCAAGTCGAGCCAACCGCAGCGTACACACCACAACAGAATGGAGTGTCCGAACGGTTCAATCGGACAATCGTCGAAAAGGTGCGTGCGATGCTGATTGAAGCCCAAACTCCGAAGAATCTGTGGAATGAAGCGGTTCTAGCGGCGGTATACCTGACGAACAGAAGTCCAACCACCGCGGTATCTGATTGGAAGACTCCTGCGGAAATGTGGACTGGTCACAAGCCGGACGTTAGTAAACTACGTGTGTTCGGCTGTAAAGCATTTGCTTGGGTGTCCACGGCACAGAGTAAGAAACTGGATCCGAAAAGCAAGCCTGCTGTGATGATCGGCTATGCGCCGAACGCCTACCGCCTCTGGAACAAAGAGAAGAAGCAGTTATTCCTAGCCAGAGATGTCAAGTTCGATGAAAACAGTTTTCCGTTTGCCACCCAGATCCGTGACGAAACTCCTTTGGTTGTTGCTCCGTACGAGTTCGAGGATCAAGATGAGGAAGACGTGCAAACCCCTGAACAGTCCGTTCAACCCGATGAGCCGCTGGTGGCTCAACATGACGACATCCTGACTGATGATGAAGAAGGCGAGGTTGAAGACGACGGTGTTGAAGAAACCGGAGCGCTCCCTTCGCAACTAGACCGTGGTTCAAACCTCGAAATGGAAACCCCGAGGCGCAGCGAACGGGAGCGCAGACTCCCCGGTAAGTTGAAAGAATTTCTGGTTGGAAAAATTTTCACTGCCGCGCAATCCTATTCTGCAGATGTTCCCCATAACGTTTCCGATGTACTATTTGACGGTTCCGTTGGACGAGATGAGGCCGAGCGTTCGATCTTCGATGTCCCGGAGGCGTACAAGGAGATCGCTGGACGAGCCGACGAAGCTCTTTGGCAGCAAGCGGTCCGTGAGGAACTGCAGTCGCTAGCGGACAACCATGCTTGGCGATTGGTGAGATGCCCTGCTGGTGTGGTTCCGCTCAAATCGAAATGGGTCTTCCGAATCAAGCCGGACGAGCATGGCGAACCGATCCGTTACAAGGCGCGCTTGGTGGCGAAGGGATTCCAACAGAAGCCCGGAGTCGACTACAACGAAACATATTCCCCCGTAGCAAAGTTAGCCACGATACGAACCGTTCTTGCTGTAGCAACCCACCGAAGGATGCACGTTCACCAACTCGATGTGAAGACCGCATTCCTCTACGGTGAGCTTGAAGAAGACGTCTACATGGCCATACCCGAAGGAGTTGCTGCACCGCCGAACTTCGTTTGCAAGCTGGATCGATCGCTGTACAGACTCAAGCAAAGCCCCCGCTGTTGGAACAACAAGCTAAACGACCTTCTACTGGATTTCGGCTTTACCCGTTCCCGGCATGATTACTGTCTATATACCAGGATCGACGATCGAGGGGGGGTATACTTTTTTTTTTTTTTTTTTTTGTCTTTATTTTAGAGATTTTTAGCCTGAGGCTAGTTCATCTCTTAGGGGGGGGGTATACATAATCATCTACGTGGACGATTTGCTCGACTGGACCTGGTGAAGGAGATCAAGCGTGCTCTTTCCAAGAAGCTCCAGATGACGGATTGCGGCGTGGTTAATCATTTCCTTGGAATGAAGATCCGATACGACCGCGCCACCGGATGCATGTACCTGGCGCAAGAAGCTGCTGTGGACCGTGTGCTGACGAAGTTCGGCATGCAAGACTGTAACCATGTCAAAACCCCAATGGAGAAAGGCTGTTTCCTGCCACCACAAGCTGCGAATCCTGTGTCGCATCCATACCGTCAATTGCTGGGCAGCCTGATGTATACGATGCTGTGTGTTCGACCGGACATATGCTACGCTGTTGGATACCTAGGGCGCTTCCAAGTTCAACCTGATGAGGCCCACTGGCAAGCCCTGAAGAGAGTGGTCCGTTACGTGAAGGGAACGAAGAACTTGAAGCTCCAGTACAAGCAAAACGACGACGCCGAGGCACTTGTCGGGTACGCAGACGCTGACTGGGCATCGGATGCTGAGGATAGGAAATCCGTTAGTGGCTTCGTCTTTAAGGTCTTTGGGAACACCGTGTCTTGGGCAAGCCGCAAGCAACAAACCGTTGCACTGTCGTCGTGTGAAGCCGAGTATGCAGCTTTAAGTGCCGCGGCCTCCGAAGGGCTTTGGCTGCACGGAATCCTTGAAGACCTGAAGCAAGTTCGACCGGACACGGCATTCAAGGTGTACGAAGACAACCGTGGGTGCATTGCAATGGCCACAAACACCGAAAGCAAGCGTGTCAAGCACATCGATGTAAAGCACCATTTTTTGCGCGACCATGTGGCACAAGGAAGACTTCAAATCGAAGCAATTGATACAGCAAACCAAATAGCGGACACGTTCACCAAGCCCCTGGAACCTGGACGTTTCCGCGAACTGAGGACCCTCCTAGGACTGACCGATTCAGGGGGGGTGTTGGAGTAAATCGGTAACGCAGTGTGCTGATCACCTCCTTGGAGACCGAACGTCACCCCTAGCAACCTAAGTTTTCTTAAATAAACAACGGTGAAAAACTTTTCATTCCTGTTCAAGACTCCACTCAAGCTAGTCGTTAAATAAAATCCATTCTACTTTTAAACTTTGCTGTTCCGGTTCTTTCTAACCATCAAGACCATTCGACAGACCCCAAGAATTGAAAATGATAATTTTTCGATTTTACAGGGTGTTTGGTTTGAACCGGTAAAAAATTGAGCAAACTAGAGCCAAATGAACAACAAAATGTATGACAGCAAAATAATCCGGGACGCAAAGGTTAAAATGAATTCCGCATTTTTTGTGTTAACACATCAGTCCCTTCACGATTTTCGCGGCATCATTAAATATTTCAGCGATATTCTCGACTGATGTAACAGCCCTGCAGTCAACGGTCGATCTTTCAACACCGCAAGCTTAGTATATGGCAGTAGGGTGGTTCAAAATATCGATATTGCTCAACCCTGCTCAATCAATTCAATGATCAGGTCCTGATCATTCTAGATAGAGCTGGAATTAGGGCGAAACAGCTTTTGTAAACAATGACTTCTATCGATGATTTCTGGGAACTTAAGGCACGCCCACGCAGACCAACATAACCATCGGATAGTGGAAGTCTTTCCCTACCCGATGAGGAAGTTGGTTTGCGTGGGCGAGCCTTGAATTTCTAGAAATCATCGATAGAAGCCATTGTTTACAAAAGTTTTTTTTTTTTTTTGCTTTATTATAGACTTTCAGCCTGTAGCTGGTTCGTCTCTTTGAAGGATTGGGGCTCCTGAGGGGGTCCCGGATAGAGAAAATAAATAAATTACATAGTGTTTGTTACAGAGTTTACAGCCCTAATTCCAGCTCTATCAAGCATTCTCAACAAAAAATTGAACTCATTTGGTTGCGATTTCATACTGCACTAACCCTTTGAAGTTGATATGGAAATTACTATGGAAAAATGAACTTTTTGTTCTCATCGTTTTTGTGTTGCTCCATCATAATGATTTTAGATACATTTCGTATTACTTTCAAGTTAATTAACCATCAAGAACGATGTTTTAATCGATCTCAACGATTTTCATATCAATGTATTCCGCTTAATAACACATAATCCTTATATGATATCTTGTCTATATTAAAAGTCGCAATTCCTGTGTACCAAATATGAAGTTTTTGGATGTGGGCTCCACTTTTAAAGTATGTATTTTCTGAATACACCTGGAGTGTTCATCCCTTGTGGAACCTCCCTTAGCTCAGTCGGTAAAGGCACAGCTACAAAGCAAGACCATGCTGGAGGTGGCTGGGTTCGATTCCCGGTCCGGTCTAGGCATTTTTCGGGTTGGAAAATTTCTCGACTTCCCTGGGCATAGAGTATGATTGTACTTGCCACACAATTATACTAATGCAAAAATGGTAGCAGGCATCGAAAGCTCTCAATCAATAACTGTGGAAGTGCATCTAGAACACTAAGTTGAGAGCACGCAATAAGCTAATGTGCCAAACGCAATAAGCTTGCAATGCGAGGAGGAAGGAAGGAAGTGTTCATCCCTTAAGAACCACATTTATGAGGAATTTCATGATGAATAGAATCCTTGTACTGTTAAACTATGAGGTAGATTATGAGTTCAAAATGAGTTATATGAACAATTTAAGCAGAGTCTTTTTAGAGGGTGTAAGCAATGAGTCAGTTTCCATTCTTAAAGAGGCTCTCAGCCTTTGGCTGGTTCGCTTCTGCGGGTTGTAAAAAAAATCTGCTAGGTAGCCCGCGAGCAGTTGAAAAGAAAATTGTAAGGAACTAACTTTTCAACTTAGATGTAGGAGTACATAAACTTCATTAACAAACATCACCGGTTTTACATTGCGAACACCTTACCTTAGGATCTAGCGTTCCGGTGATGAAGCACTTGACACTCCTGAACAGATCGTCCCGTATCTTCAGATTCTCCAGAGCGCTGGTGGCTGTGGCTGTTGCTGATGCTGCTGCCGTCGCGGAGGTTACTCCCGAGGAAGTGCTAGCCACAGAATCGTTCGCCGGTCCACTTTCATCGTTCACACTCATCGTCTTGGGCAGTGCTGCTACTGTTATGGCACACGTAGGACAACAATGACAATCTGGGCGAGATTATAACTATTTTCACGGAAAATAATCCACCGCGACCATTGTCGGTAAACACTTTCATCACTCTGTCCCCGAGCGACCGAGCACAAACACAACAAATCACGAAACCAATGCTCCGTAGCTCTTGCGGTGGCCGTCCGTAGTCGTAGAACAGGAGGAAGAAAAAAAAATACGCAAGCGTGTGTTGTGTATACAAACTACGGAACTCGGAAAAACTACCAACACACCGACACTAGCAGCCGTCCCCAAACGGGAGGCAGAAGGAAGAAAAGAATCCCGAGATGTTAAATTTGAACACTTTTGTAAACAATTTTTCGCCTACGAAACCCGAAGCAAACAGGAAAATTTTAGTATCTTTAGGTCCACTGCACCTGACCGCACACTTTTGCACTATTTTCCGCCGACGATGGACACTTTTTCATCGCTTTTCGAGAAAAAATACACCGAGTTGAAAAATGCTGATGGGAAATCTTGACGCACTTCGATTTTTTGCCACGACCGGTGTGATTGTGTGCGTGTGAGATTTGGCAGTCAGCAAAATTTTTTGACAGAAGCTGGGTAGCCGTCAGGACAAATAGGGTGACCCAAATGGATGGGTGTTTGATGTAAACAAGAAGTAGGATTTTGATGCTGGATTCACAGATTCGATGATGAGATTGAGTGACGGTGTCTCTGAAAGAAAACCGCATTTGAAAAAACAGTATCGCTGAAACACCCACCAAAAGAACACTAACCTAATAAGGTTCGCCCCTTTCATATGAGGCTAGTTTCGAAACGTTCTGTTAGCCCATCTAGAGCAATATTTTTCCAAATTTTCCAGTGTCCAAAAAACAAAAAAATGTTTGGAAAAATGGCAATTAAAAATTTTCAAACTAGCATTAGAGTTTTAAGTAAAAGTATGAATGCAAATGAAGGTAGAGCTCCTAAGCTTTTGTTTGGTGAGTGTTTCATCGATACTGATTTTTTTTAATAATAATGTTATTCTACCACCATAATAAAATAAAATACCATACATGAACACACAGAGACTAGATTACTGAAGTCGGCAAAATTTTACTGGGTTTTTAAACAGCTGAGTTTTCAGTAATCAACCCCGTAGTTTTTACCTCGGTTTTTACTTTAACTCAAAACTCTATAAATCGCAGAATCTCTGAACTGTCTTAAATTACCGTAAAGAAATTGCTGTATGCATCATCAGTAATTTATTTATTTACCTTTATTTTTTGCTGAGTTTTTCAGTATATTTATTTCAGTATTTTGATGAATAAGTCAGTACTTTTTATCAAAAATATTTATTTACTGTAGTTGAAGATTTTTTTTTATGGTTCCATACGATGGATAGCTATTCCAAAACTACCCAAATTTGGGTAGAATCCACCCAGATCTGTCAAAACTGAACCTACCCAAAAATGGGTAAACTGTGTTGGGAGTGACAACTATACCCAAATTTGGGTAGTTTTGAAATAGCATGTAGTGTCAACGATCAAAAATTTAAATTTTGATTTAAAAATCGAGATGAATGTCTACGGGATAAAAATAATCATTGTGCTCAGAAAACGAAGCTCTATCAGGTGATGTATGAAAAGCGGTATATTTTTCGAAGTTAAACAAGCCAATTAATCAAAATCCTCGGTCAGCTGGAGATACTTCTTGATCAACCTGTCATCTTGGGATAATATCAGCGTGCACAATTTGAACTATTGAAAAGGTTAAGAACTCCAGAATGCACTTTATCACCCTGAAGTCTTGAAAAAAGAACCAAAGGACTATACTGAAATTTATTATCAGGTCCGGATCTTTCACAACATTCCCATGATAATATCTGATAAACCAGTACTCTAACGATAATCTTCAGACTTGATCAACTTGTAATCTTGAAATTTAATCTAGAGAACTTTATAGAAATCTTCGGTTAACTGGAAATCTTTCAAATACTTCCTGATATTGAAAAAAAAATCGACAGTGAGCATGCTTAAGGGCGTATACGCGATTCTCTTTGCATTGCTACAGCTAAGCGAAATTATTTTCTAGAATTCTCGATGAACATTTCAAATGGTCCTATCTGCTTTGATCGATTCTCTTCACCGACTTTCTTTTTTCATAACCACTGCTATGCAAACAGATTTCGCGCTAATTCTACCACATAATTTGATAAAGTAGGTTCTTATCTAGCGTCCAAAACGTCAAATACAACAGGGAAAGGTTTTGCAGCTGAGTAATTGACGAAAGAGAAAGTCGATGAAGAGAATCGATCAAAGCAGATAGGACCATTTGAAATGTTCATCGAGAATTGGTTCAATTCAGAGTTGTAACAGGTTGTATTGGCTATCAAAAGCAACAGCAAACGCACCGTGAAACGGTAAATCTGGCGAGTTATTAACAAAAGAGAAAATCGACGAAGAAAATCGATCATCGCGTATATGCCCTTAAGCATGCTCACTGTCGAAATATCCGAGAAATTGTAAATTTTGAATAGTTTCTGATACATATTCAGAATAACACTTGATAAACCGTATCATTTACCAAGACTTTGAAAAATGTATAAATGAACTTATTGATATCTTATTGAAAATCAGGGAGTATCCATAATGTGTACTTCCACAAAGTTTCTTGAACTTAAACTTATTTCCATGAACTCCAACAAAACTCCCTGAACTTCTTCCCAATTCATTAAACTTATCCGAAGCTCTCTTAGCCTGACGTTCTTGAATTTGTGAAGTTCTGCGAAAACCTGGAAATGTGAATCCTGATGAATGTGGGCGTCTTAGTGGAATACCTGTATGTAGGGTGGATGCTGAGAGAGAGAAGGATTAGTATTTTCCATTTAATTCCACTACTTTATTTGCTTATCCTTGACAGATACGCGTATTTCGTCTACAATGTGCAGACTTCTTCAGTGTCTTGTACTAATACTCGACTGTAGAAAACATCGCATTTACCGAATATATATATTCGGTAAATGCGATGTTTTTCTTCAGTGGAATTAAATGGAAAATACTGGAAATATTTTTCCACTTCTAAGAAGTTTAATGAACTTATACGATATTTCCATTGCTTACACAAACTGAATTTCTACCAAGATTGCTGAACTTGTACATATTTACCACAGACAAACAGAAATAACACCTGAAATATTTATCACTGAAAAACACCGTCTCTAAATCACTATCGCCATCTGTTGAGGGCCTCCCTTCGCTCAGTCGGTAAAGGCGTAGCTACAAAGCAAGACCATGCTGGAGGTGGCTGGGTTCGATTCCCGGTCCGGTCTAGGAATTTTTCGGTTTGGAAAATTCCTCGACTTCCCTGGGCATAGAAGTATGATTGGGCTTGCCACACAATTATACCAATACAAAAATGGTACAGGCATCGAAAGCTCTCAATTAATAACTGTGGAAGTGCATCTAGAACACTAAAAGTTGAGAGAACGCAATAAGCTAATATGCGATATGCAATAAGCTTGAAATGCGAAGAAGAAGAAGAAGATCTGTTGAGTACACTATCATGAGTAGCACACTCAACAGATGGCGGTAGTGTATAAACTTCAAACGCCAAGGCACTTGACTATGCGTGCCACAGTTGACGATACCGTGGACCCCCGTTATTCTGAACAGTTTGAATCCTACTAATCTGCACGCCGTGCAAACTAAAAAGTGCTCAAACGTCATTTCTCGCGTCACTCTTCAAAAGGTCCTTAGTAACAAATGTAAACAAATCGAGTTAAGTAATACAAAACTATTGCTCTTCTATCATTGTATGTGATACAAAAACACCCATCCACATTTACTTTAATCTATTTAAGATAATCATAGGTCAAAAATTAACCAACGTACAGTTTGAAATGATGGGTACATGATTGTTACTTCGGTCATTCGGAGTGCCTAGCATGATTGGTGCACCTTTTTTAAAGGCGGGCCAATCTAAAGTTAGGTACTTTGCCCTGAAATCTGTGAAAGGGAATCTAGCATCATGTAGAACAAAACGTCCAATGTAACACTCATTAATTTTGTCGTTGAGAAAAATCGTCCAATGCACAATGTCCGATGCACAACTTGAAGTAGTAGATTTTGTACAACTTGTTTGTACAAGTGAAGTTCTAAGAATTTTTCTAAACTTCCATAAAGTTTCTGAAGACGTATGAAGTTCCATGATATTCTATAACATTTCCTAAACTTTTACGTAGTTTCCCAACATTCTAGAGAGTTTCCTGAAGTAAAATGACGTTCTCTTAGCTCTTACCTTCTACGCACTGCCATTGACTTCTAAGAAGGTCCCTGTACTCAGCTTTATAAATCGGAAATAGTGTACACTAGACTGATGCAAAATTTGAAATTTTCGCTCCACAGTGCTCAAATGTTTCCAAATTGGTCCCTGATTAGCATCCCAAAATTTGAACTCATTTAGTTTAAAATTGACTAGGCACAAACCATTTCAAGTTTATATGGGAATTACTATGGAGAAACCATAATTTCAGTTCATATCTATCTCAAAATTCACCAGTTCACTCTACTTTAGAAAATGATAGCTGAGCTTGTTGAAAATTTTTTCAGCTACAACTTTGTTGAAAACCACTTTTCGATCAAATGTAAGGAACAAAAATTATTAATGATTCAAGTCACTGATGTCTTATGATTATGCTCAATCAACTGTTCAACAGGCAACATTGGTGTTTATGGCGCGTAGAATAGAGGACAAAAATCATGGCTACTATGTCACACTGCAGAATATAGTGTTGCCCACAATACAGTTGCTTAATCTTGCCATAAGATTATCAATCTCTTAAAAAATTAATAACTATTTAATTTGACGTTTGGCTGAAAAATGATCTTCTGCAAAGTTGTAGCTGATAAAAATTCCCATAAGAATAGCAAGAAAATTTGTTAACAGTACAATATTTAAAAAGGCTAGAAGACAATGAACAAAAAGTTTTGTTTTCCCATAGTAATTTCCATGTAAACTTCAAATGGTTTGTGCCAGGTCAGTTTCTTATAAAATGAGTTTACACTTTTGGAGGCTAATCAGGACCCAATTTGGCACCGTTTGAGCACTGTGGAGCGAAAATTTCAAATTTTGCATCAGTCTAGTGTACACCTTTCCCCACACGCAAATTTTAAATGTAGAAGTGTGACATGTGAAGATATTACCATATATACCTATAGTTTGTCTTCTCAGCTAGATCCAGCCCAACATCTTCTTTGCGCCTATGAGGAAGGTTCTAAAAACTGTCTCTGAATCCTGATGAAAGTTGATGTTCGAATACGTATAGAGAAATAAAGATTAGTAAATTTGCTTTCAACTCAACCTTAATTCGACAGTGAGCATGCATAAGGGCCTATACGCGATGATCGATTCTCTTCGTCGATTTTCTCTTTTTGTTAATAACTCGCTAGATTTAACGTTTCTCGATGCGTTTGCTGTTGCTTTTGATAGCCAATACAACCTGTTACTACTCTGCATTGAACAAATTCTAGAAAATTGTTTCGCCTAGCTGTAGCAATGCAAAGAGAAAATCGATGAAGAGAATCGATCATCGCGTATTCGCCCTTATGAATGCTCACTGTCGAATTGCTTATCTTTGGCATTGACGTAGCTCAATACTTTACCGCTGCAGCAGCAATTGGTTGATTTAAATGGAAATTACTAATCTTTCTGCCTATGAAGTTTATAAATAGTCCCCGATTCCAACTAAAAAAAAAACACGTACAGAATCCATAGCTTAGCAAACGTGATCAAAATTAATTCAACTGCGCAGATTATCGTTTAACTCTTTTAATTCAACGTTTCGTTTTCATTTAGTTTGCTATGAGCAGCTCTCAGCTGCACAGAAATGTACAATAATCGCCTGGGCGCATTAACGGTACAGATAGTCGGCATTAATGTTCGACGCAATTTCCGATTCCCACTTGTCGCCGTTGCACAGCAGCTTTTCCTTGTTGTACAGCAGCTCCTCGTGCGTTTCGGTCGAGAACTCAAAGTTAGGCCCCTCGACGATGGCATCGACCGGACAGGCTTCCTACAAGTGAAATAATGATGTTAAACACTGTTTTCGGAGCACAGAAAAACCACCAGCTTACCTGACAAAATCCACAGTAGATGCACTTGGTCATATCAATATCGTACCGGGTCGTCCTTCTGCTTCCATCGGCTCGCTCTTCCGCCTCGATGGTGATGGCTTGCGCCGGGCAGATTGCCTCGCACAATTTGCAGGCAATGCACCGTTCCTCGCCACTGGGATAACGACGCAGGGCATGCTCACCGCGGAACCGCGGGCTCAACGGTCCCTTCTCGAACGGATAGTTGATGGTGGCCGGCTCCTTGAAAATGTGCGCCAACGTGACGGCGGCACCACGAAACAGTTCCGTCCAGAAAATGGTCTGCGCGGCACGGTCCGTTATGTCGGTCATCTCCATGCTCTGTTCAGCATTATTTACATAATAGAACTCCTGGGGTTTGATGCTGGTTGCCTTCGCAGCACTGGTGTACGAACGGCCGGCCATCGTCATCGCCGGACGGATGATGCGGTTGGCTGTGGGGTTATTTACAATTTAGCGTACGGTTCCGAAAACAACAACCAAACTACTTACTCTGCTTGGCCAGGGAGAAAATCTTCACGGCCGACATATTCAGATCGGATTATGCAGACGGAAAATATGGAAAAATCGACTTTTTCTGCTGTTCTGCACCACCAGCAATCTTTTCGCAAAAAATCCGGATGAATTTGACAGATCTTTGTTATTACGTAAGTTTGGTAGCACCCAGTGACAGCCTCGGCATAGGGTTGCCATCACACGATTTTCGCTGGTAGCGATGGGATGGGACATTAAAATCGACAATGAGCGTTCATAAGAGCCAATGTCACAAACGTAAACAAACTGAGTTATAGACCTTTTTGACGTTTAATCATCTAGCACGCATGGATGAATGGACGGTTTGTTTTCCCACTAATCTGTTTCCCTCTTGCTCGCACTCGTTCGCTTTAAATGGTACAGTAGTGTGCGCCGATTAAACGTCAAAAAGCTCTATTGCCGCGATGTGCGGTAGAAGAGGTGAGGAGAAAGGAAACTAGTGGATTCTTTCGTTCTCGCGTCTTCTTATGCAGCAACAGACGTGACGTCACGTCTGCTGTTGCATAAGAACACCGTCAGAATGAAAGAGTCCACTAGTTTCCTTTCTCCTCACCTCTTATACCGCACATCGCTATTGCCGAGGTTATTGCTACCACGTTATACACGGTAACCAGCGTTAACACATTAATGTGTAAAATTTCACACATTTCGTGAAAAAAGGGGGCTACTCATAAAATGTGTTAACTTCGTTTACACATTTATGTGTAAACCCAGCAAACGTCAATAGAAGTGTATTTTTTACACATTTTTCAAGAACGGTTTTTACAGCAAAATGTGTAAAAAGTAATCATTTCTAGAACTTAAATATAATGTGTGCGCATGGTTTTTTTTATTAACTTTGGAATTTTCTTATTTGTGTCAATGATAAAATAAAGATTGCTCGAATACAATAATATTTTATTAAAAAAAAATGCCATCAACAAAAATAAGTAGCAGCACCAGTGGTGTAGTGGTAAGCGTGATTACCTCTCACCCCCGCAGGCCTGGATTCAATCCCAGTCGACGCTGCCGGGATGTTCTGAGGCATAACATCTCTGATCGTGCCGAGGATCACGCCTTCTTTCGGAAGGGAAGTGAATCCCTAATAAAAATTGTATGGTTAATTTGCTTAACGACGTGTTCTGGGTATCATCCAAACCATTTATGGAATAGTTCAATGATTTGGGTTATCGTTCGTTTATGGTTATTTTTTATTAGGGAAGCCATTGGTCCCGGTTCATGAGTTGATGGGTCGATATGTAGGCACCGACAAACCGACATGAACCCGACCAACCATTTCGTTAATTTTCTTTAATTTTCCATACATCGATCTTCAAAGCCATTCATAAGAAAATCGAAAGCGATCGTCACCATTTCATGAATAATTGTGAAGATGCTAAAAGTCTAATCGTGAATCGTTTATAGAGATCTTTCTTAAAATATTGCTACCAATCGTTACCAATGTTAAAATATCGATTGTGTTGCCAGATCAAAGTATCGATTTCTGTTGTAAAATGCGCCCCTACGTGTCACTTTGTATGGGAGCGAGCTGTCAGTTTGTCTGTTTAGTGTCAAATAGTGAAGTTATTATTTTGCTTTAAATCTTGATTTAAAAATCAAGATGAAAGTGTGAGGGTTCGAAAAAAATATCACTGTGCTCAGAAAACGAAGCTCTTTCAGATGATATATAAAAACCGATATATTTTTAAGAATTAAAGAACCCAATTATGAGATCACATGAAAGTTATGTGAAATTCTAATGGATATTTTCCATCGGAAATGTGATTTATTTTTTGAGTGTAGAAAAAATACGCCCTCCAGTTAGTGTCAAAATCCACAATGAAGGATACATTTATTCAAGATATTATTAATATTTATATTTTTTATTTTTTTATTTCAATATAAATTAAAGAACTCAGTTCACTGGACTAGCCCATAGAGGTAACTCTAAGACCACTGGGTCCCGAAGAAAATCATTATTATTTTTGGCTCACTCAGTACCAGAACAACGGTCCCAAGCAGTCCCAAGCTATTTCGCTCACCCCTGCATGTTCTGCATGAATCCACACACCCCTGATGTTATCTGTCAAACTTTCATAGCGAATCAAAACAAACATAGTGTAGTAATAGAATTTCAACTAGAATAGGGTACGTTAATCGTTTGCTTGGGACCAATAGGCTACTAAAGTGGTGAGCCAATTTAAAATCGTTAGTTTCGTATTGATTGTTGACTAGCCCCTCGTTCCGAAACCTTTGAAGATGTTTGTAAAATCGCATTGTTTTGACGTTTCGCCCCACTCCCGCACACAAACAAAGGCAAATCCGGTCAGCCAGTGCAAGAGTCAAGAGATCCTGTCGTGCTACACTCTAGAAAGGAACGTAATTTCCCCCGCAGTCGTTCAGTCACATTGATTATTCGCCCCTTAGCCGCCCATATATACTACACAGGAACAACACCAGTTTGTTCTTCGATCGGTTCGCGTGCGTGTGTTTTGTCTTCTGTGCTTTTATTACCTACTCCCCATATTCTTCGGTTCTTCCGACAACTCAATGCATCCGCTTCTAGTGCAGAATTTCGCCAGTAAGTTCAGTGTACTGAAGCACCTCGGACGATCAACAGCAGCAGTTCAAAGGTTCTCATTCCACACGTCTAAAATGGTTCAGATTAAGGTAAGTGCCATTTTCCATTAGTCTTATCAGCAATATTCAAATCATTCTATACTTCCGACCATTACATAATCCTTGATGTGTGCGAGGAGATGTGTTTGTTTTGCGGTGATAAAAATACCTACCTACAAGGTTTATTCAGCGCAATGACGTCCGAACATGGTAGCGGCGACGAACTTGAAAAAAAAAATGCCCAATGGACACCGGGAAACTAATAATACAAACCGACACAGTTCTGGATGTGCGTTGTGTAATAACAAACAACAAAAAGTACTTGAGAAACAGAAATCATTACCAAACAAACGTTTTTCAAGAGGACAGTATTCCATCCGCCGCTGAGGATGAGTAGGTTTCCGATCCCATCATTTTGTTTTGTGCCGCTATGTATGCATCCATTAATTATGCAAATTTTCCTGCCCTCGCCGTCAGTTCCCTGACATGCTTTTGTTAATACACTGGCTAATACGTGGAATATTGGGTGATGTTTGTGGGATTGTTAAAGTTGTAAAACCACCCTTCCCAGTGCTTTTTTTTGTGCCGTCATATGAGGAAGTGGATTAAAGTGGTGTCCTCTTGGAGGGAGTGCGGGTGTGCCTGTACCTGTGCAAACCTATCCTTTTTTTTTTGATATTTACATTATATTATCCTCGCCTCAAGGGAGCTATAATAATTATGCGTTTCATCAAGTCTGGTTTATTCGATTCCAAAAAAGCTCATCCTGTCGAGTTTATTTACGGCGCTTTCGGATCAAATGCTCAGGTCGGATATTCACACCATGGAAAATTTAAACATGTTTTTGGTTGAATACAGTTGATACAGTTGTCATTCTTGCATTTATCGCAAGGATCTGACCCTAATTGTAGGGTCCCGCCTTTTATACCCTTCGGAGTGTTGGAACACCGTCAGTCAAAAACGGATTTCATCCAAACAAAATCAAGCAATAATATAATAACATCGATAATGCCCATGCATCAGAATCCTAGTCTTAGCTAAAGAGACTGAATTGGGTAAAGAGGCGACACCTTATCCATTTGACAGGTCTCCTGCTCGATTGGAATAAGTTTTCCTATGACTTTGACAGATAATCGATTGTTTCAATTTTGACGTGTCGTCTCTTTATAAATTCAGGCTCTTTAGTCTTAGCCACTTCAAACTAGAGAACAGCGAATAAAAGGTTAGGAATCACAGCTGAAAAATAACTACCTAGCTCATTTTGTCCTTGTTTCAAGATCATCCTCGGTGGACAAAGCCGAGTCTTATCACTATCAACAAGGCATAAAAAGTTTAATTTATATTTTTCATCAACAGGCTTAAAGCAGCGCCAATTCTGGTTTGAAAAAGCAAAACATCAGTGTGGTGGCATTGAAAATGTTGATTATTGACAAACACACATATTTTTTTATTTGTCAACATCAACAGGCTCGATATGGTCCCAATGATGGTTTAATTTAAAATGAAAATTCAAGTCATAAGTTAAAACTACAGAACGTTAAAACATAAACATTGACGATTTACATTTCTAGAAAAGAATGAAGAGAAACGTCTCCGAAGTGTTTGTCGTGGCAGGTGAAAATCGAATGAACTGATGAAATCCGGTTGAATACTCGCTGCAGTCCGCCTATTGCACCATTGATTGCATAGTTTGTCCGACGTAGTGGCATTACCAGCATAACATTGTTACTAAGCAACGATGTAATTTCACGATTATTATCCACGTCCCGATTACTACCCTTTTTATATACAGGGAACATATCAAGAACAACATGTGAAAAGGGCATACAAGCTTTTTGTAAACAAACCTTATTATGCCCTTTTATCGCTACCCATATGACACCCACGCAAACCATCAACATCATCCGGTATAGCAAACTTTCCCCTTCCCGATGATGTTGTTGGTTTGCGTGGGCAATCCTCGTTTAGGCCTACAAAGGTTTGTTTACAAAAAGCTTGTATGCCGTTTTCACATGTGGCTCTTGATATGCGAAAATTTCCATTTTGATGGAAAAAATACCACACGGGATGGACAATCGGAACAGATGTTGTAGCGGTGACAGTAAGTTAGCGATATGCTTCTTCAGAAAGACTGAAGGAACACCATCAGGTTCAGGTTTGGAAGCAGGCTTTAGTTTTAGTGCGGCAGTCGCTATCACTTCGGCGTTGACAACCCAGAGCTTGACCGGAAAATGGAACGTTGCTTGCTGCTAGGGTCACGTATTCGTTGTTTAAGCTCTCATCAAACAAGACACTTGCAAGCTTGCTGGAGAACAAGCGGCAGACATCCTGTGGAGTGGAAGCGACTTCGCCGTTCAATATCATGGATGAAGGTAGACCGGACTCTAGCGCTGCTCCTTCACGTACTTCCAGAAAGATTTCGGGTGCGACTTGAATTTCCTTTGAATTCCTCGCAGATGATGCAAGTAGCATCGACGTAGGCTGACTCACTTGAACTGATAACACTAGTTTACAGCATTTTTGAACTCGGTAAGGTGATGATCATTTCCAATGCAAAATCCTACGCTGAATTCAATGCCGTGGTCAGAAAAAATTAAAGTAGAGCCATTTTTGAGATATACAAAAATTTTGATTTTTTGAATTTTGGACAAAAGTACGATTACTAAAATGTCAATATCTTTGAAACTAGTGCACAAATTTTAAATCTTTTTTTTTATGAAAATGAAGCTAAATAAAAATGCTATCGTTCACTAGAATATTATGTCTTAATTAAAAATTCAATTTTGAAGTCATTTAAAAATTTACAGCATTTTTTTTTATTTTTCCTGCGAATTTTCCATAAAATCTTGTTTTAATCAACATTTTTAATGGGATAAAAAGATTCAAAAAATCATTCCATAATTTATTCTTAAAGTCCATTCAAAACTGGAGAAAATGAGCCTTTAATGGATGAAATCGGTTGGAAATTGTCGAAGTTATGAGCATTTTTGTAAAACACTTAAAAATGTTGCTGAAATACAACAGCTTTAGAGTTCCTTTTCTAGGTGTCGTTGTAAGCATCCAAATCGCATGTAAAGTTTTCATGGGAGATTCTTTTCTCTACATATCAATTTGATTAAGGCATATCAGGATTTAAAACCGAGTTGATACAAAAGAAATTTATTTAGGTTTTATTAAAAATGATTGAGAATCGAATGACTTTGTCTTCGATCTTTTGAACTTGTTTCTCGAATCAGAAACCAACAATAGTCACCCATCATTGCTTCATCCCAAAACCCTTGGTAACGACGTTCCATCATCTTCATTTGTTGGTGAAAACGTTCGCCGTGCTCATCACTCTCGTCACCAAGATTTTCCGGGAAAAAATCCATGTGAGAATGTAGGAAATGTATCTTCAAAGACATATTCACACCTGTGTTCAGTGAAATAAAAGGATTTGAAATTAATTATATGTAACAAACACAATATTTTCTCATAATTTTTGAGCAATTCATCGACGGCTTCCTCATAATCTGGGCTTCTGAAATTTCCTAAAAAAGTTGTGACAACACGCTGGAACGATTTCCACGCTTCTTCCTCATCTGGTGTCAAAACTGTATTGAATGCGGAATCATTGAGCAGTTTTTTGATCTGTGGGCCAACAAATACACCTTCCTTTATCTTTGCGTCAGATAAATTTGGAAATACTGATTTCAAGTACTGGAATGCCGGCCCTTCTTTTTGAGACGCTTTGACGAAATTTTTGAATAGCCCAAGTTTTATATGCAGTGGTGGAAGTATTATGCGTTCTTTTACCACAAGAGGATCATTTTTAACGTTGTCTTTACCAATTGTGAAATTATCCCGTTTTGGCCAATCTTTTCGGACGTAGTGTTCCTTACGAGCTCGACTGTCCCATTTACACAAAAAACACATATATTTTGTGTATCCCTGTTGCAATCCAGTCAACATGGCAACCACTTTAAGATCGGAACAAATTTTCCAATTGTGTTGATTGTAATTTATCAAATTGAGCAATAGAGCCATTGATTCATACGTTTCCTTCATATTAACGGCATGAGCTAATGGAATAGAAGGTTTCTCATTCCCTTGATGCAGTAAAACGGCTTTCAAGCTCAACTTGCTGCTATCGATGAATAAACGCCATTCAGCTGGATCATATCGCTCACCAAATTGAAGTCGTCACGGCAAAAACATGCCTTGTCCTTTGTAGAATAATATTTGTCAAATTTCTTGTGACGATTCCTGTGATAAGAAATTTTGACCTCCTTGCTCAGCATGTTGTGTTCTTTCAAGCGTGATGCCAGCAATTCGGATTTCTCCTTCGATAAGTCGAGATCTCGCACCAAATCATTAAATTCGGATTGTGTAAACAGTGTTGGGTTTCTTTCCAATTCCACCTCGAAGTCTTCCTCGCATTCCTCCTTGAATTTCTCCTCACTTTTTGTAACGGTCGATTCAACAGAGGGCGCTCGTTTCCGCTTTGGATAAACAGGATACGGGACCGAACTTAAATGTGGAACAGGTTTTGTCATAGAAGCCACTTGTGGATACTCAACTGTTTTGTGACGTCCTTGTTGCTTAACTTTTGTCAAGCAGAAATAACAATCCTTTGCATGACAAAACGGTCGACGCCATATGGTGGGCATGTCAAAGGACAAATAGCGACTGACAGATAACAAATAAGTGAGTTAGTAAGTAAGACATTAACACTTATCAAAAATAGATGAAGTAAGATAATGTCGATCAGGAAAGAACAAATATGAAAGTTATTCAAAAAATCAATTTACCTTGCGCCTGACATCCACCTAGCCAAGCACGTTTTGCACGAACTACATAATACTTTTGGAATCCACGGTTCGTCAAAGTCTCCAGGATCAATTTTAAAATAAAGCCTGTATGCAGTTTGCAACGAAGCAGTGAAATTGACCGATTTTGTAAATATATAGTTGCCACACGCGTAACAAAACTTTTGAGGATCATTTTTACACTTGAATTCACGTTTTGTCGTATACATCGTTAAGCAATGTTAAAGAAAGAAAGCTGTCAAA